CTCTTTTCATGAATTTTTCCATGACTTTTACATGTGGCTGTATCTCACCGATGACGCGTCGGATCCCTGATTTGAGCTCAGGAATTGTTTCTGATTTATTCGCATAAAACCGAGATTTCACAAAACCGCACGATCGATTGCATGAGGATATTCAGATGGAAATGCGCTTCATCGGAGAAGATGACTTTTTCAAAAAATTGGTATCGACTTCTATTACCTCCATTACCCATTGAACCAATTGCCGGCTGCCATGGCTGCTGGTTTGAGCTCCTGAGTTAGCTGAATCTTGTACGCATGAAGGTGGAGGTCTTTTGTCAAAATTAGCTGCGTAGTGTTTCGTGAAATTTGAAGTTGTTGAGAACGATGCCGAATTGATGTTTTCGGGTTTTCGGCGACACTCGTTTACAGCGCTAATGTTTTCAAGAGACTGACCGGTACGTTGACGCAAAGGATTCTTAATATCCATAATCGACCCAGTTTCTTCTAATTTTTTTACCACTCTTCGAATGGTCAAAAAATTTGGCGAAGTTTGGGAGCGATTTCAGCTTAACTTTCCACATTTTTGTAATGAGTTTTCACAATTATAACGCGTTGTTCTTTCGAAAATCGCTCTATTTTTAATAATCAGAATAAACATAGGTACAAACTTCAGAGTTGCCACTTGCACGAAAAAAAAGCTTCTAAATTTAAATAAAATAACTAAATTCTCATTAAAAACACATATTTCACTTTTTCTGGCTATTGCTAAGGGTGCTCTTCTACACGATGCAAGTAGCTTGCTCATGTTAAAGCACTTGCGCAGGGGATTTGCTTCGCGAAAAAGACTAGCGGGTCGCGCGATTCGCGCGGTAAACTTGCGCAGGTACATTACTAAACTGTGTCAAATCTGAAACGAGCAATATGCAAGCATGTTACCAGCATGCAGCATGCACATTATACGAACCAAACGTGCAAGTAACTCGCGCATGCTACTGACGCAAATAACCCGCGTATTTGCCCGCTCCAGCTACTTGCATCGTGTTGCGAACACCACCCTAAGTTGCGAAGCTGTTTAAATGTGTATGTGTATAATTAACCATCATACGCCATTTTCGCACCCTATAATTTCTGCTCCACTTAAAAATATCATAACTACGCATAAAAGAAGATAACCATAAAAGCTTTGATCAATCCACTGATTGATTACTGACCCGTACCACTTCACACTTGTGTAGGTAAATAGGGTCATTGGAAAACAATTTGTTCCAGACCAACCCCTGTTTTATGCTTCATTTGAAGTTTTACACTTACTTGCCTTTAGTTGTTGTTGGAGGGTGGGAACAAGAACACTAAATGGACCACACTATAAATTGTCACTGTGCTAGTTAATCTTCACTTAACATTGATTCACTGTGATCATAAAAAAGTGCTTAGTGATCTTGGCTGTTAAGCAACGTTCGTGGGCCCTGTTCTCATCCAGAACTAATAACTCTGTAATGGACAGGATCATCTTTTATTAATTTAGAAATATCTTTGTCTATCAGCAGTCTGGTTACCATAGTACAAGCTCTGCCTAGCTGTTTTCGGATTCTTCCTATTGCAAGCACATTTTGGCCCACCGTGTACTTTGACGGGCCTGTTGGTCTAGTGGTTAGTGACCCTGACTGCTAAACCGGAGGTCGTGGGTTCGATTCCCATCCAGGATAAATATTGTGTGATGAGCACGGCCATTTGTTCTGTGTCTGGGTGTACTTTATATATAATATGTATCTATTTAAAATATACAAATATGTTTATCAGCAGTCTGGTTACCATAGTACAGGCTCTGCCTAGTTTGTGATCAGACGGCCGTGTGTGAAATATATTATATTATTATTAGTCAGTTCGATTGGGATGGACGACACTGTGTATCTTATAACCTGTGTATCTGTCTGTGGTATCATAGCTCCCGAACGGATAAATCAATTTCGATCTGGATATTTTGGTTGGAAGGCGATGTGATCGAGATGACGAGACATAAATTTTGAAGATCATCAGCTCACTTCCCAAGTGATGAAGGCATCTGGCTAAAATCCACAGGTCCGATTGATCTAAAATTTGGCATACTGTTACTTTGATGGTATTTCCACGACGTGGTAACCTGGAACTTGCTGCTACATCAAGTAGTCTGCGGGATAGCCATTTCCTCAGAAAATACCATGCATATATACCATGTTTGGTCTTTATACTGTTTTTATGTGTCGGGTTTTTTTAAATATTGTGTTATATAGCCTATAAATATAGGCGCTTCTTCAATAACCATCTTAAATCAAGTAAACTGTATAAATAATTCAATGCGCAATGAGTTTCTTCATCCACTCACAGATCACTGCTCCCTTTCTAACCATATCCTCTTACACGGATTCCTTTATTTCATTGATAAAAAGTTTTGGCTATGACCCCAATACTCCTAGGGGATGAAATCTAATTAGAAGAATGATTTTGGATTGGATATAGTATTTATGTAGGGGGCCTATAGGCTATGTAGTATGTAATACAACGCTACGACCCTTTGGAGCGAGCCAGTGTCCATTAAAGTGGGTGAAATGTTACGAGAATGGTTGGTCAGATAAATAAGACTAATACCAGATAGATAATTTAATATATTTTTATATGTATATCAGTAAAATAACAAATGATTCGTGTTGAAAACACTTGACATTTCACAGTTTGTCGTTTATTAAATCATTTTAGAGTTATGAAAGGGTCAGGTGACTCAAGGATTATGTCAGTCACCTGTTACTCACGCTGAATAATCTTAGCTGTGATGTGATCATAGCGAAGCGATGGCAGATTTTAAAGTGTTTCGTAAAAACGTCAAATGCGTAATCGATGGCGAAGGAATAAATGGTAGCGTTGATTCTAGCTAATATTATAAATGCTGATGTTAGTTTGTTTGTTACTATTTATGCCTTAATCAACCGAAAATCATCAAATTTTGTAATTCATTGTGGTATTTGTATAGAAAACAGGCCTTTCATCTTAAAAGCGTACAGAAAGATAAAAAAATAATTTAATAAAAAAATTTGAAATTTGTCATAGTGTATATTATTCTACTAGTCAAGCTTTTTTATTTGATACCCATATTAAGGGAGTTGTAAATATCGGGAGGTGTAAAAATATGTAATCCGCCATTTTGTGGCGGCGGCCATCTTGGACCGATCTTCATCAAACATAGCTAAGAACACTCCCGACTATTCACCTTTTAAACAAAAAACAAAATCAAATCGGTTCATCTGTTCGGGAGCTACGATGCCAGAGACAGACATACACACACACAGAGACGTCAAACTTATATTGCTTTTGCGTCGGGAGTTAAAAATAACTATAGTCAAAAGTCATGTTTTAATAATATTGTAGTTGACTCAAATTGAGCAATATCAATAACAGATAAAAATGGGTCATATAGTTACCATAGTCGAAATATTTTAGTCGCTTTATAGTTTCATCCTGTTGTAGATATATATCAGTTTCACCTTGTTCAATCCACATTTACGCATTTATATTTCAATCAACAAACATCAATCTCGGGTAGGTCCCGTAAACAATACGACATTTAAGTCATATCAAAGGAGACCAATTGAAATATTGTTTCGTTCTCGATAAAACGTGTGAATTAAATTCTGCCGCCGCGCCGTGTAAACAGGAAACAAGAATATATGATACTGCATTTCGATACCGTGCAATGAGATGTAGGCTTTATATCTAAGCGCATACAGTTTAAATTTTCGTTGTTCTTGTGATATACAGTGTGTTGTATAATAAACACATCTTTATATTTGTGTTTGTTTTAAATCGAGGAGTTCATTGAATGTTTTAAAGAGAATGTGTACGCTATTGTCTTAATCTGAATGATCTTGAACATGAATGCGGGTTATAATGGACTTGTTTGGCAAAGTAAGAACTGCGGACAATCTTCTTAGTTTTGTGTCACTGTTTTAAATAATGCTATTGTCTTTTTCATTTTGTTTCCGATCAACAATGTTTTGTGTAGATAGATTCAAATCAGGATATTAGAGGGTTTCAGATATTTTCTACAGAAAATGGATGTATTTTAGAAGAGCCTAACGAATCTGGATGGAAAGTACATAGATAAATTGTAATCCGAAACAGTACAGAGGTTACTTATTATATATTAATAGGATCGAAGCCGCGATTTAAAATTATAATTTATTAACTAAACCATATACCTATAGTTTTTACGGTTTCAAACCCAGTGTAGACTTTTCTATAACTTTATCTTGAAGAGATAAAACAAAGGAAAAACATAAGAATTCTCATAAGTCACACTTATGAGAATTCTCGTGGTTTTCTTTTGTTTAAAAAAATATCATTTAAGGGAACTGTCAGGAGTAAACCTAACGGTCGGTGTAACAGATTTTTACTTTTCTACTTGCACGAAAAAGTGCAATAAAAATTAAAATTGCATGTATTTGCATGATAATTGTTTTGCCAACTCTGCTATGGACTCGGTGTATAAATCGCTTATGTAAGTTTTACATGTTTCAAAAGACCATACAATTATCAAGTAAAATGGCTGTTGTCCAAATAACTGACAGATACTAACAAGAACACTAGAAAAAAAATCAGACTTATGTCATCAAAAGAAATAAATATCTATTATCTGCCTCCAAGGCCATTTACCGAAAGCTTATATTTGAGACATGTGCGAGATAAAGTGGAATAAAAATAAATAGCGTCACTAGACAATATTACGAGCACCACTATAACGTAAGTAAAATTGCGAATTCTGGTGAAAACCGTGAGAATGAATTACTAACGTATACAGGATCAAATGAGGTGGAACACATTTCAAGAAACTACATGCTTGTACGCAAGGAGTCATCTCAGAAAATATAAATACATACATACTCAAGTATAATTCTCAAAATAGGAAGGAAAGGTCGTACTAAACAACGAAAATTTTGTTAGTGCCATTTTTGCCTTCAGCGAGCACTTTAGACAGGTTAGAAGGTAGTAAGATGGGAACAGATAATAATGCTAATGGGTTGGGAACTGCAAACAATAGCCCGCATGGATCAGCCCCATTTACCACCGGACTAGCTGGTACAGTACGAGTCTAAACTATGTCCGCATAAATTTTCTTCTCTCTCCAGAAGAACATAAGGTGTCCCGCGAGTTATACCTACTACATACAGTACGGAAAGAATATCCTAAACATTCTTCGGCACAAGTCTGATTCGGTATAAGCAAATAAAACTGTATCTCCTGACACCCACGCGGCATGTCGTTTCACCCCTTGAAAATCCCATTCGAGTTTCAAATAGGCAGGCATTCCCGATTTATTCCATAGTAAATTTAAAATGAACATGAATCTTCATATACGAGGGGTGATCAATAAGTAATGATAATCAATATGAAACAGAACTATTAGATTAAAAAAAGTATTTTATTTTTCAACATAGTCTCCTTGCAAGTTAATACATTTATTTATTTTATTTATTTTACATCTTCATGCACTTATGTACATCGGCGGACTTAATGCCCTGGGCATTCTCTACCAGCCAACCTTTAGGTGGTGTAGAAATCTTGTAGGGTAGGTGCACCGAGGATACGATTGTATCAATGATTGTAAATAATTGTTTATCTAAAACTAAGCAAAATCTACAAATATTATGCATATAAGTTATAATGTAATACAAATATAATTACACATATATATAGAAATAAATATAGATATAAATACATATTATTTATGTTTGTACACTGTGAATGCTTGAATTTAGGAGGTGTACCATTTGTTAAGTCACTTCCGCCATCTCCTCAAGAAGGTAATTATGTACATTCCTTTTAAATGCGAAACGGTTTGTGGACATCCTGATTTCGAGTGGGAGCGCATTCCAGAGCAGAACTACTTGTACAAAGAACGAGGAGTTCACGAAGTCTGAGTTGTGGGGGGGGACACAAGAGAAGCAAATTATTCGTTGATCTAAGATTTCTGTCGTGATTAGAGGACAAGAAACGGATGTAAGGATCGAGGTAGGTGGGTGAAAATGGGCAGTTGAGGAATGAAAAGAGAGAGGTCAGCGCTCGCTGATTGCGACGCAAGCGAATAGGTAGCCATTTTAATTGGGAGCGTAAAGCAGACACATGGTCATACTTGCGAAGATTGAATATGTATCGAATGCAGTTATTGAGAAGACGGTCTAGCTTATTGAGGAGGTCTGCATTCAGGTCGAAGTAACACACATCACCATAGTCAATTATAGGAATAGTTAGTGAATAGTTAGTAATAGTTAGAGAATAGTACATTTAGTGTATCTTTTTTCTAAGCCCATGATTCCCTTAGAAAAAAATTCTTTGTCTTGACCCTCCCAAAATGCCTCTACTGCGGCCATCACTTCACTATTGTCCTCAAATTTGTTGCCCCGGAGGTGTTCTTTGAGCCGAGGAAAGAGGTAGAAGTCACTGGGAGCTAGATCTGGCGAATAGGGAGGGTGTTCGAGCAGTTCGAACCCCGTTTCTTCAATGGCAGCCATCGCAACTGCGACTTTGTGAGCCGGGGCGTTGTCTTGGTGAAACAGCACTCCAGCGCGCAGTTTACCGCGTCTTTTTGACTTAATAGCTTCTCGCAATCTTCTTATTTGGCCTGCGTAGTAAGAGCCTGTTATAGTGGCCCCCTTTTCCAAATATTCCACCATAATAATTCCTTCTGCATCCCATAAAACAGACGCCATAACCTTTCCCGCTGAACTTGACACTTTGAATTTCTTCGGCGTTGGTGAGGAAGCTCGTTTCCAAGTCATTGATTGTTGTTTGGTTTCGGGATCAAAGTGGTGGATCCAGGTCTCGTCCATGGTCACAAAACGCGACAAAAAAAATTCTTTATCGGCCTGGAACTTTTGAAGATTCACCCTCGAAATGTCGACTCGTTTCTTGTTTTGCTCGTCGGTTAACATTCTCGGTACCCAACGCGCAAAGACCTTTTTCATATGCATTTTGTTGACAATGATTTTTTGAACGCTGCCATAGGAGATCCCTGTGACCTCAGCTACATGCCTTACGGTCACCCTTCGATCGGCCAACACGATATCTTCCACTTTTTTGACGTTTTCTCCAGTAAGGGACGTGGAAGGGCGTCCCTCGCGATGTTCATCTTCAGTGGAGGTTCTGCCCAGCTTAAATTCCTTTGCCCAGCGTGCGACTGTGGAATATGGAGGAGCAGACTCCCCCAATGTTTCCTCTAAGTCGCTGTGTATGTCTTTGGTAGACATTTTTTTCAGGCAGAGGTACTTGATGACAGCTCTTATTTCATTTTTCTCCATGTTGATGTTTTCTCTTCGACAGTTCGTATTGAAATGAATGTATCTCCCGGTAATGGTGTCCTATTTATACATTTTTTTGAAGCTGAAGTAGTGGATATATAAGCAAGCAGAAAAAAAAAATTTGGGTTTTTGTGCGTTCTAGAAATACTCGATTATCATTACTTATTGATCACCCCTCGTATAATGTCATAGTTCCATTTTATTCAAAAATTTTGCATACTGCAATACGTTGCAGTACCAAGTAGGAATTATAAAGAGTCAAATAACTGTGCGTGACATTGCACCAGTCTCACTTGTAAAATAATGAGTATTAGGTAATTGCACGTCCAGCCAATGTAATTATGTATCAAATAACATAATTTCTTCTGTTCACGACACGATCGTTGAATGTTATGTTGAAGCCTGCGCACGCGTCGGCAAATAACTGCACGTTAATGTTGACTCTCTTGTAGACTTTGAACAGTTAATTAATTGGTAAATTGTGAGCTAATAGCATTTCTATTGCCTTGTGTCAATTAAACTCTACTCGAATCTTTACTGCATTGAAAAACAATTAAGATTTTGCAATACCCGGTTCCCATATTTTTATTGCGTCTCGTATTGATATTAACTAGTTTTAATATTAAGGATATCATATAATTTATTTATTTCGACACTTAAGTACATATACGTTACAATTATTGGCCGAGTATTAAGTAAACAAATAAATAATCCACAAGAAACATGAGCGACTCATGCCTAAATTAGCTATTCCTGAGCTATACTAAGAGACACAGTTACATAATACTTATCATTCAATATTAACAACCATTAATCGTACGCTTAAAGAAAATAAATAAATTTACAATTTTTTTAGGCCTTAAACAACAGAACCATATTAATTAGTTTTTACTTGCAGCTTCACTCTGCTATTTTTTTACTGAATTCGACAAATAAAAGCTATACTTAAACCAGTATTTCATTTTCTTTCTTTATTTTCTACGTGAATTTCCTTAGAAATATAAAACATTATTAATGTCCAAAAAGGTAAAAATTGTTACGCGTAACTTTTAGTACGAACGGCTGTTCCTGTAATGCTGACCGTTTTATTATATCCAACCAACTTCCCCCAAAAACTTCTAAGCACCAAAACGTTATCCAGATTCCGGAGGCATTTATTGCGTTGCGTAATTCACAACAAAGAATGTTTACGCTATTTTATTACCCAATTTCGGTAATATTCCGCACTAATGTAAAAAGTTTTTCGTCTATTGCGGCGAAATAACACAAAAGTAACGACTTTTGTCGTTTATATTTGTGTTTTGTGTCGCGCCATGTGTTAACAGAGTCTAACAGTTTGGTGCGGAGGAAATGGGTTTTGTGCTCTTGGAGCTCCTTCCTGTATGACTAATGCTGTTTTTATGATGTTCTGACATGTCATAGTTACTTTCGAGGTCGAGGTCATTGTTTGAACGTGTTAAAATTTGTTCACTGGTTTTCTAAGTCAAATAATAATGGATTTTTTATGCTATGAATTGTTTTTCTTTATCGGCAAATTGTTATTAGTTAAGTAAATATGTGTGGCTTGCAAAGCAATGTTACTATTTTAATAGAAATTCATGACGTCGAATAAGTAATGGTATGGTTAATTTATTGTTATTTTTTTAAATACTAGTCCGCGGATTCAACGCGTTTATGGTCACTGCCCCCTTCGAAAGGGTCGTGTAGCGTGAGTTGCGTTAATAACCTTTTTATTCAAATTAAAAAAGAAAACAATATCTTCATAAATCTAAACAGTGTATTATAAAAATAAGTCTAAGGTTATACGGTATACAAGGCCTTAATAATTACAATGTAATAGATAATTATGTTTACGGAAATTAACGCGCTCACGATATGAATTAAGTGGGTACACAAGTTCGACCAGGTTGCACCGGGCGTCACGTGAAAACTGTTAAATAAAAAATAAAAAAAATATCTCTTACATTTACTGTAAATAAGACACACTAAAGGAATCGCAACCCTAAATGTAACAGTTAAAACCCGCCCAAAATATATTTTTAGGGTGTACACATAAGATTTTTATGTTTTTACTTTGTGTGTGTCGATTGTCGATCGACAAAATTTTTTTTTTTGTAAATGATTATATTTTTGTATCATAGTCAGTAACAGTTTTTTGTATTGTTGCAGGTGATGCTGGGCGGGGCGGGGTCGCCAGGCGGCGACGATTTGCTCACCGTCACCGTCGTACGCGACGAGCATGGATATGGAATGAAAGTCTCCGGTATGCCACTTTTACTTATCACCATAGTGATAACTTGCGAGTGACAATTGTATGCTAGGTTAGTTGTAATTGTCATAGTCCGTCCTGCTGGCGGTAGTGTCATGCTTCGGGTCGTAGATCTTGACCAATATCGGTTAGGCTACACGATGGCTGGAGCCTGTATGCCGTCTGTATGGACAGGCTGACTCAAAACTATGGTCCTTTCCTCAAAAGGCCTATCCAGACCCCATACTGCACTCGCACAGTTTTAGTTAACTTTGTTTACGGACTTAAAAAAAAAGACACCTCTGTGGTTTGTTTCGGCGATTCTTCCCAGAGTGTGTCTTAGGAAATGCCGGCTCCTTCTAGCTATAAAGTCCGACTTCTTCTTCTTCGAGCTTCTTTTTTGACCGAGTGAGTGAGGTTCATCTCCCGAACTCTAAGGGCCAACTCTGCCATTTGTGTCTTTTGAGTTGCAGGTGTTCATAGACGGCGGTAGTCACTTACCATCAGGTGATGCTTCTACTCGTTTCCCCCCTATGCCATAAAAGATCTCGTGTATCAAGTGTGGATGGAAAGGGCTTATAAACTATCACAGAACACCTATGGGAGTTTTTTTTATTAGGCTTGATTTAAGTAGGAATTATTGGAGGTAAGGAGGATAAGGATATTTTGAAACGTAACTTCCGTTTTGTTTTTTTTTTTACCTTTTGATTTGTTTTTGATATACAGATCGTTTCCATCAGTCACAGGTATACTAATTTTACTACTGATGGCGTTCCATCAGCATGGTCGTTGCGTAGTTCCATGGAGTTATTGTGTAACCTCAACCTCCTGAAAATTTGCATCTTTTCTTAGGATATTAACTTGGATAATACCCAAGGAAACTATTCTGTGGAAATTTACATTTGACAAAGTAGGAGAACAGTCTCTAGTCAATGGAATAACATTCGTTTCTAGTCTCAATATTCTGCCTATACGATCACTAATCTCATTGCGTGGTAATGACACAGTTTCTTTCCATTCATGTCCTACTGTGCAATAAATTTGTACAGTCAACATGTCCGCACCGCCGCGACGTTAGCTTAGTTTGAATATATTTCGTCATACTGAACGACATTTCTTGCTATTCGTTCAATGAAATCAAGAATTGCATGCTTGCCCAACGTGTTACTAACGATCTGTCTATGCTTATATTTATTAAAGCGCCATCTAGACTCAAACTAAGCATACTATGTGTTTTTTTTATTAAGTAGGTATTTACAATTCAATGCAGGTGTAATATATTGTGCAGACCTAGGGGTGACAGGTGAGGCCATTTGTCATCCTAGCAGAAGCAGGCCGGGGTGGCGGCGAGCGCGTTGCGAAGCGCGCTCGCCCCTCCGGGAGCATAGAGGGAACATGGGGGTTCCCACACAGGGGGGGGTCGTGTACCCGCCGTAGATGGCTCGAGGTACGTCGGGGCACCAGGGATTTTCTTTTCTAGGGTACACGAGGTTCCCCGACTACTGGTACCTGAGACGGCGTGCGGTTTTAGTCGGTTCGAGTCCGACATTGCCACCTGTAAGTGGTATCCGAGGGGATTTCTGCACAGAAAAAAAAGGTGTAATATATTGTACGTGGTAACAACGACAGTATCAAAATTGTAGATAAATATTTTTACTGTGACTGTAAGTGAGACTGGAACCTATAGTACTACTCAATACTCTATAGGCAAATTGACTAACGCTGCATTACTTAGGTCATCTTTCCATGTGTCGTAAGTAGTGTTATATTGTTCATCTATACTAATATTATAAAGCTGAAGAGCTGTTTGTTTGAACGCGCTAATCTCAGGAACTACTGGTCCGATTTGAATTCTTTCAGTGTTAGATAGCCCATTTATCGAGGAAGGCTATAGGCTATATATCATCACGCTAAGACCAAAAGGAGCGGAGCACCAATGAAGAATGTTTCAAAAACGGAGAAAATTTATTACTATTGAGAGACGCAGACGAAGTTGCGCGGGTCAGCTAGTCTATACATATAAAATTACTTACTCTTACTGGCTGAATAGTTCATAAATGCAGAGCTTAAACCGCTTCCTGAAATTTTGGCAGTTGATGCTGTTTTTGTTGTAAGCGTGGAAGCTAAGAAAGGATTTTTGGAAATTTCACCCCTAAAGGGGAAACTTCCTTTCTAAAGAAAGGCCTATGTTCAGCAGTGTCCATGAAAAGGGGTAAAATAAGGGATGAATGGTTGCATGAAAGTTTGTCATTTTCAAAGTTATAAACATGTAATAAGAAAGAATAATGCGAGAGAAGCGAAGTACGCACTCTGTATTTCCTTTTTAATATTTGCTTTTTAATTTTGACTGCACGGATGGCGTAGTGGTTTAAGCGGTCGCCACGCCACTTCCTACTACGCCGAGTGTTGTGGGTTCAAACCCCACATGGGACGACACTTTGTGTGATCCACAAATTGTTGTTCTGAGTCTGGGTGTTCTTTGTGTCCGTTTCATGTATGTTTGTAAAGTCCCCCGTGACACAGGATTTATTCCTAATGCGGGAGTTGTCTTTTAAAAAAACAAAAAAATATTATTATATACAAGACTGGACGGTGTCCATCGCCACACTATCAGACATTACCAATTCTGTACCCATTTTTGTTATCTGATATTTTATTACTAGTACACGTATATTTAGATATAGCTTATAAAAAACACCACATACATTTAAACACTTACAAGGTCTTGAAGAACGACTGCCAAGTTTTTTATGTGTGAGATTCATCACCACTTCTCCAACTATTTCGTGTTTTTTCACCATGTGAGATTGCCCAACAGTTAGCCTTCAAGTTTAACATCTTGACTAGCATACTCGTAAAAAATGTCAACACTATGTTGTTTAATTTGAAATTTTAATAAGTAATATAAAGCCGTTTTGGTTTTTAGATACACAGAAAGAAGCTTTTATCAGTCGAATTCTCGAGTAGCCTTTTTATATCTTTTTGTTTAAAAGAGGAATATAAATTTGTTCTAAAAGTTTATGGATTGACGATTTTAAACTTATGTGAACAGATCCGGTTCATTATATGTTGAAACTGTGATCAATCGTAGGGATTCCTAACGATAAGTGCAATAATGCAATCCCAAGCATCAAAAAACAATCGATGATACTTAAAAACCAAAACCTCCTTTCTAAGGAGAGGCCCATGTCCAGCAGTGGACACTTAAAGGCTGTTGATCTTAGTGCTAGTAAAAGTAATAAAATATACTACATGTTTATAGTAATCATTATTACACATAAAATGACCACAATGTTGTATGTTTAACTAACATCATACTTAAGTCATAATAAACGCTTTTCATTTACATTACTTATTCAACAAGACAATGATATTGGTTTGTATCATAATATTGATCCTCGTTCTACTAAATACATCATTCAAACTTAATTACTTCTCTTTCAATTAGTGAAATCTGATCTTTCTTTCTGAAGTTATGACGGTAAAAGTAAAAAAAATGCTGAGTTCTGGGCAAAGCCATAGCTTAAGCTATCAGTTTGCTTTCGACACATAACGAATTCGAAGGTGTGGACATAGCTTATAAACGTTCTTGCGTCTACAGGACAAAAGGCGAGGGCGGGATTTACTTTTATTTAAGAAAATTCTGATGTAGCGTTTGGCGGAACAGCCAGCAGCAAACACTTTCTCAGTAACTCCACAGCCACAAGCACATCGGCACAATCAGAATTCAGAATACGCGTTATGTATAAAACATGTTGTCGTGTGTAGACTATAGAGGTTTAAAGCATCTTCGAGGCCCGAGAGGAGTCCATCTGTCTGTAGTACTAAAACTATTTTGTAATGCAAATAAATGGTTAACAGTTTGCCTCTAAAGCCTCAGCTAATCGATTGTCAGTCGGAGTGAAAGCTTGGCTTGTATGCGGTGGATGCCAAAAGTCATGAACGTCACCGTCAGTTCCATTATTGACGACTGTATATACATGTCTTGAATGCGTTATTAAGTTCTACCACCTATATATTTACTCATGCATCGCCATGCATTGCATTCACTTATCGATATTCGCCTTTTTACTGTTGATAATGTGTTTTCTCACCTTTGACCTGTAACTACTGCGTAGTACTTTTCGTTCTCTCTTTAGTGTAGAATATTAAGTAGCCTGTGATCAATCAAAGAGAATATTATGAATATTTATCAAGTTTAGGATTTACAGTCCTTTGTCAAATGGTGTATTTCTTATGTGTTGACTTGAATGTTGACTGCACGGATGGCGTAGTGATTTAATCGGTCTCCACGGCGCTTCCTACTACGCCGAGTGTCTGGGTTCAAACCCCACATGGGACGACACTTTTTCCACAAATTGTTGTTCTGCGTCTGGGTGTTCTTTGTTTCCGTTTCATCTATGTTTGTAAAGTCCCCCACGACAAAGGATATATTCCTAATGCGGGAGTTGTCGTTTCTATAAAAAAAAGTGTTTATCATAAAGGACCATGAAGATAGTTTTTGGTATTTACCTCTCTGGTACTCATGCCTCTCGCTCTCAAATTATGTATAACTTCGGTTAGAGCTTTGGGACTTTCCGACAATACCGACCCTAACCTGTTGGTGCCATTAGTAATATTCTCCAGTTCACAAGCCATATCCCTTTACTACTTCTAATGCATTGACTTTTTATCTACCTTAATTTCGACATACTCCTAATTCTTGCCATCCAATAGGGATGCTCCATATCACGTGTGACTAAAATATAGTAGACGTTTCGCACGACTCTGCCTACCCCTTTGTGGATGTCAACGTGAATGTATATGTATGTTTATATGTGTGACCCGAGACTTTATTCTGATTATATGATTATAGGTTGCTAGGTTTTTGTTTACATCAAATTTCGATCGTTGCTACGAGTGGAGTCTACCTGTGAACTGTAAAAAGTCTAGCGTACCTCATAAATATGTATAAGCCGCAATTGAGATCGTGACCTCGATCAGCGTAATACGATCGAAACGTAGGATAAACAATTCATTGTGACCTTACTCAGAAGTCCTAAATTCATCTAAGGTTTTTTATGGTATAGGCCAACGAGCAGACTGATCACCGGTAGGTGACTTCCGCCGCCCATAGAAACCTGGAATTAGAGACACAATTGCGTTGCCTCTCTTTAAGTTGACTGCCTCGGTGGTGCATTAGTAGCGTATGCGACTGCTGTGCTGAAGTCTTGGGTTCGAGTACCGGGTTGGACCAAATGTTTGTAAGATCTGCAAATATTTGATACGGAGTTTGGGTGTTTTCTATGTATAATATGAATGTATTAACAAAAAAAAAAAGAATATAAGTATTCTATCAGTCAATCTAGGTTTAATAGTACGAGCTCTGCTGAGTTTGAAATTAGACGACGTTGTGTGTAAGGTGTCCGGCAAAAATATTAAGTGCCCCTCTCCCTCAGAATCAGGGGGAGGGCTTCCCCTCCCCCTGATTCTGAGGGAGAGGGGCACTTGTTACCGTTTGGGCTCCTGTTACCTCACTAACGCACAAATCAACAAAAGAATTGCTTAACACTGCTTTTCTGTGAGGCGGAAGTATTACTCCGGCCGAACCGACCTGAAACATGGCTCTCCCAGGATTTTTTTTCGGTCATGACCTTTTTTTTTTCATGTATTTCTTATTATGCCTGCTATTAAGTCGGTGTGTTGGACAATTCTCGTATGCTTAATGGTTTTATTAAGTAACAAACATCTTAAAACTTTTTTTATATTTCTCTTTCCTTTCATTTAGATTATAAAAGAAAATAGGTAAATCTTTTCACGCCTTCTCCACGGTGTGTTTTCCATGTATAGTCCAAACAATACATATATATATATATAAATATACCTATTAATAAAAATCAATGTGTCTATGTTTGTCCTCTATGCGTACCGAAACCATTGATCAGATTGTGATGAAACTTTGGTGGGTGTTCTATGGACGTCTGCGAGAGTTCCGGACCCAATAAAATATATATGTAAATGGAATTCGTTTTATTCTTTCTTTATATTTTATTTGGCATTGCAACGCACGCCGGACACAGCTGAGACCTATTTTAGTCGGATATAATTAGCGAATCCACGAATAAAATTGATAACCTCCATTTTCTGTTTTTTTTATCCTTTAGTTGACAACGTTACGATTAACATATTTCATTTCAACGCGGATCCGTTCTTTAGATCATTGTTAAAAAAATGTCAAACACGGTTTAAACTTCAAATCGTACAAAGAAAGTGTAAATGTATGAAAATCTTGCGATAAAAAGACGTATAAAATGTGACTTGTAGAAACCCGATTGGTTGAATAGTTTTTTTGCAAATTACAAAATACCTCGTTTTTTACCATTATAAAATTTTGTTTAGAGAGAATTTTAGAAGTTATCAATTTTACGATTTTTAGAATAATTTTCCGTTAATTCTATCCGCCTATTTATGTAAATACACATTATTGTATATGTTAATTTTATTATTTATATGCATATGTTATTAAAAAAGTTGTGGAATTGTTTGTAATAGACTATACTACACTTACAGTTTATTATGTTAATGTTACATCAGTTGTAACAAAATAAAAAGATAAAAACGGCTTGAAAAGGTTTTGTTATTGATACAGATTTCTTAAGAGGGGCTCGTGGTTAAGTGGTAACCAAGCAGTTTAGCACATTGCAAAGTTAAGCAACCATAGTCAGGTCAGTCTGTGGATGGGTGACCAATCTTAACACATTGAGACCCTCGCCTCGGAGAGCACGTTAAGCCGTCGGCCCTTGTTGCCCTACGATCATCTGGTAATCTTTATGGGTAGTTGAGGCTCTACACCGTCCGATAACAGTCTATCTACTGAACTTCGATATCGCCTTTTTTTTTTTTTTGTTGACGGGGTGGAAAATCCCTTCAGATCTCCTGCTCCTCGGGGCTAGGAGCTAGGAGTATGTGGTGATTCCACTAAAAACCACCCCGACGGCCGGCCTCAGGTGCCCTACTCTGGGAGGACCCGGACCATGTTATTTCAGGTCCTCCCCGAATTGACACCATGCCTAGTCAGGCCCTATCCCAGGGGAAAATCACTTCCCCCCTCAATCGCGACGTGGCGGCCCAATTTCGTCGAACTTCGATATCGTCTAGTACTTGGGTTGTGGCCGTCTGATAGAAGTTGCTCCACGTAAAAAATCAAAGTTCAGCCGTATCATAGCAGACTGAAAGTAAATCCTAATCTAGAATTTGAATTTATTGATGTTCTTATCGTAATTGTAGTCTGTGATTAAAATTTAACAATACTCTATCAGCTGTGAATCTGTGTACATGTCTGTATCATTATAATAATAATAATAATATTCTACCACATTCACTCAACGCCATCTAGTCCCTAGTACTAGACAACTGATATAAATACATAATATATACTTTTTTTTTGTAAATACATACATATTATACATAGAAACACCCAGCCCTAATCAAACATTAAATGTTCATGCACACAAATGCTTGACTTGAGCGGGAATAGAACCCGCGACCTTTGTAATAGCAGTCCGTTACACAAACCACTACGCCATTCGGTCGTCAATAGATCTAGATAAATAGATATTAAAGATAGATATTTATAGATCTTAAAGATATTATCGATATCTTTGTATGTATAAATTAACTTAATAAAAAGTGTTTTTTTTTTTACTATATTTTTACTGTAACTCACTCGGATACGGTCACCAATAAACTTTTTACAGAACATTTTTATAGCACTCGTAACTATGATACAACATATAAATTAAAAATTTATGGTGACTACAATTTGGTGAGCCAAATTTATTTTAAAACATTACATTACTTAAGGTTTTCTCTTCCTTTTGTCAACCATTTTTTTTCCATATTTTATATATTTAGGTACGTTAAACCAACGCCGTTCAGTGCCCTTTTCTCCTCTATTTGCCAACTGATTTTATATTTGTCTTTAGTATCCATTGTTGGTGTTTACTGTTCTACCTGCATCTAATAAGAACAATTATAATTGTTCATCAGCAGTCTGGTTACCATAGTACAGGCTCTGTCTAGTTTGGGATCAAACGGCTGTGTGTGAGACGTGTGAGGTTATTATCATTAATTATGAAAATATTAAATAATTAATTGAATGTTTGTGTGATTCAGGTGACAATCCGGTGTACGTGCAGTCGGTGAAAGAGCACGGCGCTGCGTGGCGCGCGGGTCTGCGAGCTGGTGACAGGATTCTGCGCGTGGACTCGGTGCCTGTGCACCATCACACACACCAGCAGGTCGTGCACATGATACGAGGTGAGATATTTTGTACTGCTCATTCTGGAACTGATGAGGAGTTTGACTAATTTATGATGAGTGATTATGAGAAAAGGATTTTAATGTATTGGTATTTTCACGTGTGTATTTAGTAGTAGTTACTACACTATGTGAGTAAGCTTTTGCCCGTGGCTCCGCTCGCGTGTATGCCAGTTATCGCAGTGACAAGTCTTTCCTCTCCATGCCAAATTTAATTGAAATCGGTTCAGAGGTTTAGCCATGAAAGCGTAACGGTGAGACAGACAGAGCTACTTCCGCATTTATAAGATTAGTAGGGATTAATGGAGTCCCATGAGTATTGTAACTCATTACAAGAATTTCAAACCTCCTTTCTAAGAAGAGGCCTATGTCCAGCAGTGGACTATTAAAGGCTGTTGATGATGATGATGACAAGAATTTCAATAGTGCACCAACCTACCTCGATTACTTAAACTGTTATAATGAATGCAATATATAAAACCAGTAATGGACAAGCAACTCCCGTTTGTTCTTCACGTTGAGATTTCGCACTGTATCTTAGTCCGGCGCAATTATTGTAATTTTATGAATTCGACCCAGCAATTGATCCAGTTCAAGAAGTTGTCGTCATTTGGTACGGTACTGGCGATATTTATCAGTTAATGTGACGCATAAAGAAATAAAGGAAATTGTTTACATTTATTTCTTTATTAATATAATGTCTGATATCTTGTATCTTGTGGCTGGAATATCGAGCTAAGGTTGTGAAAGGAAAGAGCAACTTATATAAGGAATAAATTCGAAAATATTAGATATTTTTAAATTGTCAGGATAAGAAGTTTGACCAAAGACTTGACCCCTGTTGCGTAAGTAGGTCTAAATTAGTGATGGAAATTATTGATACTTTTAAATCATACTTAAATTAAAACATGATTGGTTGTGGTGACCATCGTGTGGTGACGGATTAAGAATACGGAATGTCGCCACCCCTATTCATCCCGTGGGTGTCGTAGGAGTCGACTAAGGGAACAAACTACGCAAGACAACAGCACTGCAAAGAGAAGGAAAACTTGACACAAACCCTATATTGCCAGCGTGGTATAGTAGGCCAAAACCTCCTTTCTAGGGTGAGGCCTATGTCCAGCAGTGGAGTATTAAAGGCTGTTGATGTGATGTGTGGTTTTAGTCACTGCGATTTTACCTGTGATAAATCACTACTGGGATTTTGTCAAAAACTAAAAGCCTAAACAAAGATAAAACCTAACTTAATAATAATAAGTCGCAGTAATAACAAAAAGTCGCAGTGGTTATGTACGTTAGTCACAGGTGTGATTACTCGAATTTTAATTCATATGATTTATAACAGATTATTGTGATTTTATTCAATACCCAAAAGTCACAGTTGGTAAACTGTGGTTGCTTAATACTCCTCTGCACACCCGTTTTGGGGTTCAAGGCGTTAGTGTATAGTGGATGTAGAAGTACGCCAGGTTTAGTCAGTCGTGAAGAACCTGAATGAAAGCTTTTAACTTCGTCCAAAATACGAAGTCTTGAGTTCGTTAACCACTTTGCATCCAAACACAAGAATTATCTCGTCATTTCATTTTTACCAGACACATATTGCGTGTCACCAGAGTTAGCTGTATAATTCAATGTTTGTAAACATTCTGGAAAATCCAAGTCGAATATAATGGGTTTTCCATTCAAAGTAGTTTTTAGTCACGATAAATAAATTTTTTTTTGAGGTGAAACGTCTTGAATTATAACGAGTGTATTACAGTTTCTATGCAGCTATTATATACCTCACACATTTCACACGCGGCCGTCTGATCCCAAACTAGGCAGAGCCTGTACTATGGTGACCAGACTGCTGATAAACATACTTATATATTTTTAAATACATACATATTATAGATAAATTACACCCAGACACAGAACAAATGATCATGCTCATCACACAATATTTGTCCTGGGTAGGAATCGAACCTACGACCTCCGGCTTAGCAGTCAGGGGCACTAACCACTCGACCAACAGGCCCGTCACTATTGCTATTAAACTGTTATATATTTCTCTATATTGATTATATATTCCTGTGCAATATATTCGCCATCGAACAGTAATGTAAAGTTATTACTTTATTGTATATCGCTGTGGGAGAGCCTTGAGTTCACATACCGGCCAGCTCCAACGGAAAGAATCCACGGTCTTCCAGAAAACTGGTGTTAATCGATTCTTTCGTTAGTTTTACCAAGTGAGTGTGGTTAACGGAAAACAGAAACTCCCCTATATCCCCATCTTATATGGGGGAGGACCACTCAAAGGGTGGCGACGCCCTTGTGTTAGAACAAGGTACAACTGAGAGGTTGCCACGGTAGTCATTTATCATCTGATGACAACATCTATCCATACTAACATTATAAATGCGAAAATGTGTCTGTCTGTCTGTTACCTCTTTACGCTTAAACCGCTGGACCGATTTAAATAAAATTTGATATACAGGTAGTTTGAGTCTCGGGAAATGACATAGGATAGTTTCTCAGAAATCATGAAGTTGACACAGAAGACAGAAGTTTGTGTGGGGAATCAATAACTGCTGAACCGATTTAAATGTGTGGCAATAAAGAATTTTATTATTTATTATTTATTTATTATTAAATGAAATTTGGTATTGAGATAGTTAGAGTTCTCAGGAAGAACACAGGCTACTTTTACCGCGATATTCGACACACACGTGGGCGGAGCCGCGAGCTTGATAAAACTTCAATAATTTGAAAGGTATTTTCCTGTTTCTTGGCTGACTTTGAACTGAACATCATCTTAAGAACCTGTTATTTTTTTTGCTCGTAAAGTATTAAGAGCATACCCCATTCTTAGTATATTGCGGATCTAAGAGGATAGTAAGCCGTAGAACAGCTAAACCGACGAACTAAATACCTTGTGATGTTGTAGTGGAAAGTTCTAGTTGTAGTTGAAGCTATATAACATTTATTGTTGATGATAACATTCTAATTAAATATCTTTATGCTATCTTTTAAGGAGTGTTTGACTGCACTGATGGCGTAGTGGTTTAAGCAGTTGCATCGCCGCTTCCTACTGCGTTGAGTGTTTCGAGTTCAATCCCCGCATTGGACATTCTGTCATCTACAAATTGTTATTCTGAGTCTGGGTGTTCTTTGTGTCCATTTCATGTATGTTTGTAAAGTCCCTCGTGATACTGGATATATTCCTAGTGCAGGTGAATTTGTCTTTTTTCAAATGTCGGGTTTCGTTTCATGGAAGTATAGAGATATTTCAAAAGTAATTTCTGCTTATCTCTTTGCCTACACTCTTCTTGCAGAGGAAAGAAATAAGTAATTGAAAGGATATGTAGCTTGCGAAATGCTTCTGTTAGAACTGAACATTGCTATTGCAAGCTACAGTCAAGTCAAGTCAGTCAAGCCTACAGTCTAACTATCCAGTTGGGATCCGAACATCCTTTCACGCATAAAACTGTTGCGAATATTAAATTTAATTCTAAGCCAGAAACAAAATGTATTCAAAGTAGTTGATATTTTATTATCAGGCGAAAACCTTTGCTTAGTAAATGTTGAACTGCAGTGCTATTTTGTAAGGAAACAGCGTTGCGTACAGCGCTGCCACAGCGTCGAACTTCAAACTAAGTTCGTTTGAAATGTGTACCTTTAAGTTTAAGATACGTTTACGTCTTTATCTCCGAAGGGGAAGGTAGAGGCGATAAGCTTTAAAAAAGCACCAAGTTAAACCCTTTCCCCGAATTCAAAGTGCACTATTGGCATATTAACTTTAATTAATATCTTTGTTATTGTTTCCAGCTAACCCAACGACAGTTCTCACCGTACAGCAAAATGCCTCCAGACACAAAACACCGATCACAGCGCCGGTGCCTGTCAATGTGAGTGATATAATTCTCTTTTCTGTATAACAGCAGACTGCAAGGAGTAAAGTCTAGAGATTCTCTCTTGTTTTCTCCACTTTTATTTTCAGTTCGATCTTTATTTAATTTTGGCTATTGTTGGGATCCTATTTAGTATATTTTATAGTTTATATGATAGATTTGTTACTGTAATTTTTTAAGCTCAATTCGTGTTAAATATAGAGATGTTAAAAAGAGCAAAGTAAAAGAAGTAAGTAATGTTCTAAAAATAATATGAAACTCTTACGTTACTTTTGAAAAGATTTTTTGGTAATGTATAAAATGGTTCGTTTCTTTTTATTTGTTTCATGTTAATACATATATACTTTCCAAAAAAAATCAAAACCTATGAGATACCTTTCAATAATAAAATGAAATTGGATGCAATTATAAGTAATAAGTAAATACATCAATCGTGAAGATGGTTTCGTGTTCGAACACGAGGATTTTACAGAGAAAAGCAGGCAAAAAACTCAAGGGACAACATTTTTCAACACAGTTTTCAAAGTCACGTGCCTACCTTCACAAAAAACATTGCGTACACAACCTTAATTAAATCAAATTACCCTAAATACCTGAAGTATAGGAGTCTAATTAGTGTTAAACACCAGATCCGCGACCTTGCACGTTATCAGTGCTAGAAATGCAATATCGTGTGTGCGTTGTAGAATAGCGGAGCGTGAGAAACACAAGGACTCGTTGTGAAACTGAGTCTGTACACTTGCTTTTATTCATATTAGTTACGTAAACAGTTAATCGTAATGTGATTGACGGGCCTGTTGGTCTAGTGGTTAGTGACCCTGACTGCTAAGCCGGAGGTCGTGGGTTCGATTCCCACCCAGGACAAATATTGTGTGATGAGCACGGTCATTTGTTCTGTGTCTGGGTGTAATTTATCTATAATATGTATGTATTTAGAAATATATAAGTATGTTTATCAGCGGTCTGGTTACCATAGTACAGGCTCTGCCTAGTTTGGGATCAGACGGCCGTGTGTGAGATGTGTGAGATATATTATATTATTATATTATATTTATATTCTAGTAACTGTCCCGGAAAACGTTGTTCTGTCATATACATTATCAAAGAAATCAAACCGCTATTAAGTAATGAGTAGTGGGGATAGTAGGGTAAAATAATTATTTAAAATCGGTCGAGCCGTTTTGGACTAGTGTGCCTTTAAACACCTTGACACGAGATATTAAAATATTAGATTTACACACAAATTTTTTGCGAGATGGACTGCTGGTCTAGTGGTCTTGGTCGCTAAGCGAGAGGTCGTGGTTTAGATGCCCACTCATGACAAGTTTTGTGTGATGAGCGCTGTCAAGTTCTGTGTCTGTCATTTTTATCTATACATATAAAATAAATTTATAATAATAATAATATTGTACCACATTCACACAACGCCATCTAGTCCCAAACTAAGCAGAGCTTGTACTATGGGTACTAGACAACTGATATAAATACATATATACTTTTTTTTTTGTAAATACATACTTATTATACATAGAAACGCCCAGACCAAATCAAACATTAAATGTTCACGCACACAAATGTTTGACTTGAGCGGGAATCGAACCCGCGACCTTTGGAATAGCAGTCCGTTACACAAACCACTACGCCATTCGGTCGTCAATTGCCCTGACTGACTGATTCATCAACGCAGAGCCTGAACCGCTAGGGCTATAACCTGAAAATTTTGAAAGCTGATCCTTTTTAAGTTGTAAGCATCCACTCATCATCATCAACAGCCTTTAATAGTCCACTGCTGGTCATATGCCTCTCCTTAGAAAGGTGGTTTTGGCCTACTATACCACGCTTACCAGACGGGTTGGTATGGGATTTGTGTCAAGCTTTCTTTCTCAATTCAATGCTGTTGTCCTGCCTAGTTTGCTCCCTTAGTCGGCTCTTACAACACCCACGGGATGAAAACGGGTTGTGACACTCTGTATTCTTAATCCGCCACCACATGGATTACCTACAAAAAAGCAACCTCTAATAAAGACTTTCTAAATTTCACCCTTAAGGCGATAAAATTCGGAATTCGGTCGTAAAGAAGATCGTTATTTTCAAAGTTAGAAACCCGAAATAAGAAATAATCAAGCGAGCGAAACTGTGGGTAATATCTAGCCTATAATATATATATACTATATATCTAGTCTATAATATATATATATCTAGTCTATAATATATATACTATATATCTAGTCTATAATATTTATTCTCTTTGCCGCTGTTGTCCTGCGTAGTTTGTCCCCTTAGTCGGCTTTTACGACACCCAGGGGATGAATAGGGGTGGTGACACTCCGTATTCTTAATCCGTCACCACACGGACTTGACACAAACCCTATACCAACCCGTCTGGCCAGCGTGGTGTAGTAGTCCAAAACCTCCTTTCTATGGAGAGGCCTATGTCCAGCAGTGGATTATTCAAGGCTGTTGATGATGATGTGATTGATGAATATTTATTATGTATTTCGATATATATGTGTCCAGTAGATAGCGATATGCTTTGCCTCCTACGTAAATGAGACTTAGTATAGTATAAAAAAATAACACATTGAAAATTAGTCCATCCGTTTAGGATTCTTCCTCGTTTTTGCGTCGGAGGCTACAGACTATGTGAAATGTGCACAAGTGTTGCGTATGCGTAGTAGCGGCACGACGACCTTAGACTATTGATGTTTGGACAAGTGCTGTGCTGAAGGATTCCGCTCTTCATAATTTTAAACAAACTAGCATATATATTTATATATTGTTTTTTCACGTCTGTAGTCCGGTGTGTAACTGTCATGTTGAAGTTGCGGGTTCCATTCACGTTTAGTACAGATATTTGTATACATTTTCTTTTCATATTTGAATGATGATGGTCTTTATTTCATGTATAATATGTATGTATTTATATAAAAGACGATGTATTTCTATTGGTTAGTATGCCCTCCGATATTAATATTATATATACGAAAATAGATATATTCAAACTAATAAAAATATTTACACTGAACGGGAATCGAAGCCATGGCCATGACACTATTAATCGTTAAGATAAATATATATTTTATTGTAGTACTTGTGTCACGTTTGAAATATCCCATTTTCATATTTCCAGTCGGAGAAACAACGACAGTTGGAAGTATCGAAGGTACACACCGTTCGGCTCATGCTGGAGAAGGAACAGAAGTTTATACGGGATCTGCGCAGTAAGTATACTACCCTTTTTTTTGATTTTTTCCGTGCGGAAATCCCCTCGGATACCACCTGTCGGTGGCATGTCGGACACGAACCGACTAAAACCGCACGCCGTCTCGGGTACTAATAGCCGGGGAACCAGGTATACCCTAGAAAGGAAGTCCCTGATTAAGTATACTACCCTATTATAATCACCATCGAACACAAAACCGTAAAGTTTGTCTGTTTGTAAATAAGTTGTGTAGTGATTACCATGAATCGTAGGCAACCTACACCCAGATTAGGAAAAAGAAATATTCATTTTTCCTACAATGAATTCACAACAAGCTGAATTAAACAAGGACGTAGTGGACAAAAAAACCACTAACTAATATTGAGATAAATAAATATATTATATAGTAGGGATTGGGTAAGGTAAGGTCCAGAAGGAAGGAAAGTCTGTTAGTAAAAATAAATTATCATACAATTAAATGCGCTATCAAAAACACCCACCACCAGATGTCACAACACACACAAAGAATGCAATGTACAACAAATATAACTTAGAGATTCGAGTCGAGAAAACTTCTACAGTTAGAAAAGTGTTGATAATCTTAAAACACATAAAGAGATTCATTTGAATTTCAAAAACATAAATAAAATGAAAATGGGCCTATCCGTTTACGAGCAATGATGCTACAAACAGACATTCAGATTCACACCATTAAAATTATAAAACGAGTCCCTTAATGTCAAAGGTTAAAAAGAATCCTATGTTAATGCAAAACGATAACTTGTTTCATGATCTTGTTGAAAGTCCTTGCTCCAGGAAGCGACTTGTAACCTCCGGTACTCCTACTAATTGGTATAATTAATTATAACAGATTGCAACAGAACCCACTTAATTAGGTTCCACAGGTTAAATATTGCCGCGACAATAGTGTTTACTACCTTTGCGTACTGTAGTCCAGATAGCAAGGTCTGTGTGGCTGTCGGTGAGTTTATGCTAATAAGGTAAAACATTTTAGACGATATACAGGCTATTACTGAAAGGACTGCTCATATTTTAAACTAGCTGACCCGCGCAACTTCGTCTGCGTCTCTCAATAGTAATAACTTTTCTCCGTTTTGAAACATTCTTCATTGGTGCTCCGCTCCTATTGGTCTGAGCGTGATGATATATAGCCTATAGCCTTCCTCGATAAATGGGCTATCTAACACTGAAAGATTTTTTTTAAATCGGACCAGTAGTTCCTGAGATTAGCGCGTTCAAACAAACAAACAAACAAACAAACTCTTCAGCTTTATAATATTAGTATAGATTCGTACAATACAGTAGAATTTAAGAGTTAAAATTTTATTATGAAAATTTTCTGATAAGCCTAAGATATTTAATCTCAAGGATGTTGATGTGATATAACAGATTTTTATATATGTATTTTGCAAAAGTTTTTTTTTTAAATGTGCAACTTGTACACTAAAAAAGCACTTTCCCAAGAAAAAATTTAAAAATCGAAATATTTATTAACTGCTAAACGACACATTCCTAAAGTTTAACCCCATCAACAGCCTATAACAGTCCACTGCTGGACATAGGCCTCACCTTAGAAAGGAGTTTAACCCCACCATTGCTCAACCCTTACTTATTTGCATTTAATAATAATCAGTGTAACCCAAAATGTATTCCTTTTTCCGATGTCGTGTGACTGAACGGTTTAAGCGGTCGTCGCTTCCTGCTACGCTGAGTGTTGTGGGTTTGATCTCCATATGGGACGACACTGTGTGATCCGCAAATTGTCGTTCTGAGTCTGGGTATTCTTCGTGTCCGTTTCATATATGTTTGTAAAGTCCCCTGCGACACAGTATATATTCCTAGTGCGGTAAAAAAAGGTTCCATTGTTGTTACCCAACTCGTTATATTTATATATGAAATGACCTTAAATTATTTAAAGTCAGTACCATGTCGAATTAGTCCGTGTTGGTTCCAAGCGATAATGGAAATTGCCGGTTTCTGCTGTTAAATATTTGCGCGTGATCAGTTGATTAAAATACACCTGGCACCTGAATATCGCAACTTGAATTGAATGGGCCCCCATTCAATTCAACATTTTCAACATTCACATTGTTTACAATTATGTACTTATTATTTAATTGATTAGATGACCTTTATTTTGAAAATAACTTGCAAAGTAATACTGCCTTATTTGTCTCGGTTTAGGATCATAAATTGTAAACAATGTTGGACAATGAGAAAAAATTTGAAACTTTCAATATAGGCAGGGGATTTTTACATTTTTAAGTATACAATATTTGCCGTGTGCTATTCATAGTGTGGGTGTCGTAAAAGCCGACTAAGGGAGAAAACTCTGCAAAACAACAACACTGCAAAGAGAAGGAAAACTTGATACAAACCCTTTACCAACCCGTCTGGCCAGCGTGTTTTAGTAGGTCAAAACTCTAACTCTAAGTAGAGGCCTTTTTTTTCTGTGTGGAAATCCCCTCGGACTCGAACGGACCAAAAACCGCACGCTGTCTCGGGTACCAGTTGCTGGGGAACCAGGTGTACCCTAGGAAGGAAATCCCTGATACCCCGACGTACCTCGGGCCATCTACGGCGTGTACCCCTTCTGTGTGGGAACAGCCTGCTTTTGCTAGGGTGACAGATGGCCCAGGCCTGCGCGTATGGAGGACGGAGGTCATTCTGCGACCGCCGGCGCCTGAGTCGCCTGCGGTACCGGGCCCGTTGTCGGGCCTGGCGCTCCGGGAGAGCCTAAGTAGAGGCCTATGTCCAGCAGTGAACTATTAAAGGCTGTTGATGAAATTATACATTTGTGACTTACTGTTACAATGTGTTACAACTTTAAGACGAAGCGAACAACTGGGTCATGAATATTTATGTGTAACTGAACTTTGAGAACAACCCTATTAGCAATGTTTATATTTAATTTTTACTTAAATTCTCCCATAACAATTACAGATGAAATCTCCAAAGTGCCAGACGTCCGTAAACAAGCCGAACTGCAATCAGCTGAACAGAGATGTTCCAAACTCCAACAAGAAATCGACATCATCATGGCTGGACAGGTAATATCACTCTTATGTTCAACCAAATACATTCTATATTACATTACACATTGTTGTTAGACTACTACCTGTCACAAAGCTGGTTTTTGTAACTATGTTGCAGTCAATGGTTTTTTATTTTTCTTTATATTTCACTGTTTTTTTATTCTCTATGCGTTTTGGTTACACTTGCGGCACGAAAAACGTGTTAATTATTTTTTTATTATTGAATGAACTTAAAAGTCGACAGCGTACTTTACATTCATGCACACCTTGTACACACCTTTAAAATTATGCAAATTTGAATATACCTGCCGGCGCTTTCCGCCATCGTTTAACGGGTCTAAATTTCGATCTCCATCGCTTAGATAATATTGGCACTCCACCACTGTTCGCTTTTCACATAACTAACCTGTGAAACAATTCGGACAATTCGTATTTCCGGACCATCGCCATGACGGGAAACTCCAGAAATGCAGAAGTCCATGGGCGGTGTTAAAAAGTTACCATTTCACCACTTTAATGTCGTATTTCAAAACATTTTTGCTTAACCAACGAGCCTTCCATTCATTACTCAACGATACATTTAAGGCCCTACAAATCGGTTCCCCATTATTATTCATGTTTCTGAGGACGTAGGACACGATTTCTCCGCTGCAAATACCGCATCATTTCAATAAACAGCAACTGACATCACGAATTGATGTTTGCGTAAATATTCAACTTGTATAATGTAAATTAAGCGATATTTTGGATTTCAATATCAGTTTATTGAATAATTTTAGTCGACAACCGCCGGTTTGTGTTTGTATTAATATTATAATGTTCATAATAATAACTATTTCGTTCGTGTGTCGGTTATCCAAATGGTTATTTTAGGTACTTTGTCGGCATTAATAATTTATACGATATTCTGGCCGCAAGTGTAATGTTTTAAGAGGCGAAAGTGAATTGTCATTTTGTATTAAATTTTTAATAAATGTCCCATTTAACCAAGCGATGGTGTAGTTCTTATGATGAAGTGGATTCTTTTTTAATATTTTTTTACACGTTATTTTATTTTGAAGAACGAATGTCTGCGTGTTTTAATATTTTGCTGTATATATATATGTATATAGACTCATTTCTTATGGCTTATATTCCTGATGGGGTAGACAGATGCGTATGAGACGCCAACTACAAAATGTTAATCCCTTTTACGGGGACATGTCTATGGCCCCGCAATCAGGGCTGGATTAGCCAAGTCAAGGCCCTTAGGCAAAGCAATCCTCGCGGCCTCTTTTTTTGAAGTTTCAGCTCTTTGTAAGCCGATGAAGGGTTGTGAGTTATCATCAAAGCATCACCTGATTGATGCGTAACTCCTCAGGAACTGACAGCAAGAGGGTTCCTTAGGCAGTTGGCTACTATGCCTAATGGTTAATCCGGCCCTGCCCGCAATGAGCACTTTAGGGATTAGATGGAAAATTAGGAGTGGGTTGAAAAAAAGGCGGGTAACAAGGTAGGAATCAAAACACTAACAGTGGGTGATTCCATTGTCTTTATGTTATTATTGTGAGAGGCTCTGCTTCGGTACATACGAGCCAGGCTCGACTAGAGTGATACCACGGTTCCACAGACAAACAGGTTACCGCAGCCCAAACCCTCCCTTAATAATTAATATATCTTAACACATCTCACACACGACAGTCTCATCCCAAACTAGGCAGAGCCTGCTCAATGGACTACTGACAAACATACTTACATGTTACCTACTAGTTGAATAAATAATCTACAAAAAAAAAACAAAAACATATTATAAATTACACCTAGACATGGAACGAATGGTCTTGCTCATCACACAATTATTTTTCGTTAATGGGAATCGAGCCCACGATCTCTGTCAGGACTAACCACGAGACAAAATACGGCCAGTTGAATACCTTCGATTTCCAGATTAACAATTTATATGGTCATTAACACACGCAGACATGCTATAGTATTATCTTCAATGTTCAGAATCAAAAGTTATAAACTCTTACTAAGAACTAAAGCCACACTAACCAGCTAATAGGGACAATTCGGTCTAATGTTTTGTATTTGTCTGCTTCTATGCATGTTTGTCTTTATGTTTACTTGAAATGTGTGACGTCACGATACAGGTATACTGTCTCATTCAGTGTTTTTTACTCATCTTTATTTTAAAGGGCCATTTTGTACGTGATTTGTTAGTAAAAAAATGTATTCAAGTCAGTGTGAAGCTGCTTGATTACCGTTTAATAGGTGTAATTAAGTTATTGGTTGCACTGCGTTTTTCCTTATTGGAATAACTGAAAACTAAACTGTATAATATAATGAAAAAGGTTAATATCTGTTTTACTACATTTAAGTACGAGTATTATGGAAATAATTCGTCTTAACTCCAAGAAAGTTTTACTGGTTTGGTTGGGTGGGTCCTTGAATGGTTTAAATTCGCTATTAGACTCGATAAATAAATAGTTTATAGATCTTTTTTATAATTTTTAAAATCTTTTTATCAATTTTTTTTATTTGACTTAAGTGTTTTATTTTACTTGTAGATGATTTGAAAATCGTACAAAATGTATGTTTTTTTGGAAAAAAAAAACCTCTACGTATAAAGTGACCCTTTACTAAATAATGTGTGAATGTTTGTTATCATATTTAAAAAAATATATATAATTATTTTTTTATAAATATCTATGCGTATGCGTACCTAATACCTTTTTGCCAACATATTACTGGTTTTCATAAATAACCATTCAATGTTATATATTTTTCAATAGTATTTTATAATTCTCAAGTTAATAGATATCAAACGGGTTTCTTGTTCGGATAAAAGTAAATGAATGAATGCATAGGACCAGACAAAAATTCACTAATTTGCTTTTAAAACAACTTTCGTCTCGCAAAACCTTGGGTTAATGGCCCTGTGTAAACATTGCATACCTAAGCACCATCGTCGCCTGATAATGTGTTGAGATTTCTGTATGTGGTGGCGAAATATGTGACTAGAAATAACTTGTACGGTTATGTAGATAAGAGAGTAAGGGTTGGATTTCATTTTCACTATTATAACGAAGGTATTTTTCTTTAAAAGACAACTCCCGCATTAGTAATATATCCTGTGTCGCGGGGGGCTTTACAAACATACATGAAACGGACACAAAGAACACCCAGACGTAGAACGACGATTTGTGAATCACACAAAGTGTCGTCCCATGTGGGGATCGGACCCACAACACTCAGCGTAATACTAAGCGGCGTTTCCACGTGCATTGCATTTAATTTGATTACCAATTGAACTACTAATGTTTGAAAATGCTGTAACAAGGCCTACTCAATAAGGGGCCATTCATAAATTACGAAATTACGAATTTTATGGATTTTTTACCCCCACTCCATTTCTTGTCACAGCTGGTCACATTTGTGACCCAACCCTAGTGTGATTTCACAAATTTTACCCTAGTAAATATTAAATTAAAACTGCTAGTTCTAAAAATAAGTTTTATTGCCATTTAAGTTATTTTAAATAAAATCAACATGAAATCAAACTATTGAAAATATTGACCACTTACCATCCTGTGATTTCTGTGTATGTAACTCGATATATTTATCATTCGTTAATCGATTTCAATCATTGTTTGTTAATTGAATTGGGTTAACTTTGACCCCTATTTTTTAAAACGAAAATATACCACCGCTAAGAATGGAAATTAAAGAATATACTTATTGAAATAGGTGATCGTTTCTAAAAGATAATCAATTCATTATATTCTCTAATCATTTACAATATTCAGTGGATATAATTACCCTACTGGTGAGAAGAGTAAAAACGGGATCTGACGTATCTTTTACATCTCTACATATGTCTGTCTCATATACACAAGTACATACATGGAATTCAACCCTTACAGCCACTCTTTTAATTTACAACTAGGAAGATTTGTAAAAGACGGTAAATTTGGTACTAAAAGTACCTGTAAGAAGTAACTTGTAAGTATTCAGTCACAATTTCAACACACGACATTATAGATCTCACCACAGTAATACAAAACGCAATGTTTTATACACGCTTGACACTTACAAATAATATGTAGCCGATGGAAGCCGCCCCCTCAACCCCACGTCTGGGACCGCGCAAGCCGATCGAAAAGTCACCATCACCACTACCGAACACCGGCTTCCTCAGCGGCCTGCCGAGATCACTGTCCAACCTTACCGGACAGAGTTTGAGAAACCTACGGCAGGCCAGAAATAAAACCAGCCAAGAGAACACTCCTCCACTGGTCCGTCAGAATTCGGACGAAACGAACAATAAGCGAAGACATGTACATAACAACACAGTGCCCATGGTTCCGACCACTTGTCTGGACAATGTCACACCACCGCCTTTACCTCCAAGATCCATCGAAAGACCAAAACGAAATCCTCTCAGCCCAACCTTAAGCCCTCCTCCCATCAACCCTCTGGCCGTGCCGAGCAAGCCTTGCAACTCAGCTTCACCATCCCACAAGCAGTACTACAAGGGCAGATACTATCCTGACAAGTTTCCGATGCATCAGTCGATGCCTTCATACAATGATGAGCAGAAACAGTTCAGGAGGTCGTCGCAGTCTCTGGACGGGGAACTGGACGGGCCTCAGCCAAATTCGATCGCGTTGCAAATGAGCTATCCGCTTGTGAACTTGCCACCACCGCCCTTGCAGGTAAACATGGCGAATTAGATTTTTGGAACATGTTTTATATTTATAACTAAATCAAGTGTAAATAGGCTATGTCTAAATTATGTGGATGTAACTTTTAATTCACCGTAGATTCAATTTTATGTTCTAAAACACGTAGATTTGTGCTTCAAAGAATTTTACTAGGGATAGAGTTTAGAGGGAATTTTACCAGGGTTTCACGGAAGACCGTAAAGCATTTATTTACTTGCTTTTCATCATGTGAATGAGGTAACCTGAGCCCAAACCACAGTCTAGATAAAGCCTTAGTACATATACTTAATTTTATAAGTTTCTAATGTCGAAACCATTGTTCCAAAGATCATTTTTGTCAAATTAAATATATATGTTCGGGCTGGATGTTTATCCTATGCATACTTTTTTTACTTCTACATGTCTTTTTTCCAACGCTGATGCTTATACTTATTTCTTTAGCTTGAAGAATATTTAAATATTAGTTTATTGATGTTTTATATTAAATAAATGTAATAAATATACCATACTATAAAAAGAAACGTAAATTTTTATACAAATGTTTTTTATAAAAATGCTTATAAGCATATAATTTGTTATAACATTTCAAATTGTGACTAACATGGAATAATAGCAAAAAAAAACTGTGCTACCGCCTTACTAATAAAATCAGTAACTATAAACAGTCACTATAACAATTTCTAATTTCTCGTTAATAATAATAATAAAGCTGCTATTAATACTTTATTGTATTTTTTCCCTTATATACTATATTATTTTTAGTTTAGTATTACTTTTGTTATTGGTAAGGCTGTAAACGAACAATATAAGGGCACTATAAGTTCTTTTAGAAATAATAAAAAAAAAATGTTAGAAACACCCTCCACTCCCCCTCTAGGCTCTCTTCATTGATTCATAAGTAAAGATTAACTGCATTATTTTAAAATAATAATTTAATTGTTATTTATGCAATATGTATAATTAAAAAAAAACCTTTTAAAATAATATTGATTTCAGGGGTACGAAATTTTACCATTTTAATAGTTGTTCTTATTTTTAATTCGCTTTTTTCTTTCATTATTTTGATGATAAATTACTAAATGATATTTAAATTGTTCAATCAATTATAATATTCCTAATATAGTTAAAGCCTGACTGATATTCTTTAGACTAGTGGTCAGTCTGTTACCATTTGTAAGTCTCAGTAGCAGTACAAAAAAGTAATTACCAATCATAACAGTCATGACGTGATGAAAGTGAAGTGAATCAAATTAATTAAGAATTATATAGTTTACCAGCTGACCCGGCAAACGTTGTTTTGCCAGATACATTATTTGAAGTTGTCTGTATTTTTCAGTGCTAAAACACAAAATAAAAGTAAAAAAAAAAATGTCTAAAAAATAAAAATAAATATTTAAGGGTGGGTCACCGTTATCATTTAGGCGTATGAAAAATAGATGTTGGCCGATTCTCAGACCTACCCGATATGCACACAAAATTTCATAAAAATTGGTGCAGCCGTTTCCTAGGAGTTTGGTAACAAATAACGCGACATGAGAATTTTATATATTAGAAGAAGATATGCCTTGAAACGATTGCAAATCTGAAGGTATTATATCTAAAAGGACTTATGGTGTAAAAATATATGTTTGTAGACATATATATTGATTATGTTAACGTATGCTCACAGACTGACAACAGAACTGGAGTGCCTGTTCTTCACGTGAGGAGTCGGTCGTCTCCAGAGCAGTTGGACCACGATCTTACAAGATGTAAGTATACGAAAATATTTTCATTGTTTTCTTAAGTTGAGAAAGTTTTTTTTAAATTTGGAAATTTTGTATGACCCATGTCCAGTTTATACATACCAGCTAGCTGGTGCCCACGACAGTGCCCGAGGAATTTGGAAAGCTCTGCCTCAGTGGGTGCGATTCCCGGGATCGGGTAAAATTTTATAAGAAGATAAAAAATGGTTACTCCTTAGATAGACAGCTGCCTGTTAGTAAAATATTATCAAAATCGATACAGCCGTTTTGAAGATTACCCGGAAACGAACAAACAGACAACAAATATTTAAACTGCTTTTTAAGCATAGGTATCGTGCAAATAACCGTGTGAACATGAAAAAAAGGATTATTTTGACATAACAAACAGACACTTCAATTTTATTTATTTGTTTTACTTTCCACAAAGCATTCTATTGTTGCAGTGAAATTGTGTTGACCTACAGTTTTAAGTTTAAATACATGAAAGTGAGTTTGTTTGTTTATTACGCTTTCATTTGTAAACCACTAAACCGATTTTAAATATTGTACGCCATTACAGCACTATGCCCGACCCCGTTGGGTGTAGCCGTAGGCACGGCGGTGTGCGGGCCGCTCGCCGCCAGCTGCTCGCCGGGGACGCCGCTGCCCCCCCCCGCCCCGCTCAAGGACTGGTGCGAGCGGGACACGCCCCCGCCCGGCACCCCGCCGCCGCCCTACCACACTAATACGCAGGTATTAGTCACTTTTAGGTTTATACCGGACCCTGACTGCTGAGCTAGCGTCTTGTGTTAGCTGAGCTAGTGTCTGCATGTTATTTATCTATATAATATATATGTATTTAGAAATATATAAGTCCATGTGGTGACGGACTAGGAATACAGAGTGTCACCATCACATCCCGTGGGTGTCGCAAGAAACGACTAAGGGAGCAAACTTCGCAAGACAACAGCACTGCAGAGAGAAGAAAAACTTGACAACCCGTTTTTCCAGCGTGGTATAGTTGTCCAAAACCTCCTTTCTAAGGAGAGGCCTATATCAAGTAGGTGGACTGGTAAAGGCTGTAGATGAAGTATTTATCAGCAGTATGGTTACCATAGCACAGGATCTGTCAACTTTAGGATCAGACTACTGTATATGAGATGTGTAAAGTTATTATTAATCTCATGACATTATTTAAAAATACTATTACAACATTACTATTAAAACCTCTTAAATTGTAAACAGTTACATCTACTTAATAACAGATGGCGCTGATAATATTCCAATAAAATTGCGATAAATTTTTACAAACTTTTATTATTTTATTTAGTTACTTGGGGAGTTTGTTCTACCGTTTCTTCTTTCCAACTGAAACACTAGGAAGTGATAATTCTGGTGGACGTTTTTTAGAGAACTGTCTTTATCTGATATAATGAATAATTTGAATAAAAGACTATTTTTTTATTTTGAGTCAGGAAGTGGAAATTGTTTTATTTTTGGTTTACCATCAAAACGCTGTTTTAATTAGTTTAACTAAACTGTAGCTATATCTATGTTGTAAAATCATACATAATTTGCGGTGTACAATAACAATATTTCTATTAATTGACTATTTTTTTTTGTTCCAGCCATGTTCAGATCCACAGAGGGCCATAATATCAATGGAGGAAGACGACTCACCGGCATCTGTGAGTGAAATAATTCTCAATAATGATGTTCAAAAAGTGCTGGCACTCAGACTACTTTGAAGAAATGATTTTCATTTCAATATTATTTATCACTAGCTGAGACCCGCGGTGTTACCCGCGTTTGTTGTTATAACCGCGGGCAACGCCGCGGGGCGAAGCTAGTCTAAAAAAAGTAGCCTAAGTTACTCCTTATGTCATCAGCTATCTGCCAGTGAAAGTCGAAATCGGTCCAGCCGTTCTAGAGATTACCCGGAACAAACAGACAGACAGACAAAAATTGTAAAAAATGTTATTTTGGCATATGTATCGTGTAAATATACATATGCATTTAGTAAAAAGCGGTTATTTAATTATTTTGTAATATTAAAATAACCGCTACTAACTAACTAACAGACACTACAATTTTATTTATTTGTATAGATGTCTTCTCATAAATCACAGTTGACGGGCCTGTTGGTCTAGTGGTTAGTGACTCTGACTGCTAAGCCGGAGATCGTGGGTTCGATTCCCACCCAGAACAAATATTGCACGGTCATTTGTTCTGCATCTGAGTGTAATTTATCTATAATATGTATGTATTTAGAAATATATAAGTATGTTTATCAGCAGTCTGGTTATCATAGCACAGGCTCTGCCTAGTTTGGGATCAGACGGCCGTGGGTGAGATGTGTGAAATTATTATTATTATTATTTGTAAAATGATTTTTTATTTATAATATTGTTTTTGTGTAAATTCGCAGGATAACTCGACATACTCGGGGCTGTTCTCGAACTTAAGGGCAGTGCGTGAGTCCAAAGCTAGGACTGCGGTGTTACTCAATTGGCTGCTGGGAGAGAGAAGGTAATTCTTATCTTTGAGAACTATACACTACATCATTGAGTGCGTCTGGATCAAGCTGTAATCTTCATCCCCTAATTTTGCATCCTAAGACGTAAAACTTTAGTTGAGCTTAATACGCTATTGCTTTGGGGGTACATGCTCGAGTATATTATCACAAACGGAGGAATGTGAAATTTTAAATGTCTCAGAAGTGTAGAAAACTTAAAGAAATATATGTGTTATAAAGTAAAAATCTGTGAAAACATATATAAAACAGTTCCTTATGTATGTTTTTTATGTCATAGAGGGGAAACGAACAGACGGGTCACCTGATGGTAAGTGACCATCGCCACCCAATATGCACAAGTGCTTATCTGACCTTTGAGTATTTTTCGTTCTTAAAATTAAGATGTAACTTAGCTCATTTAGTGAAATACAACGAAGGAATTGTTTAACACCAGTTTTTTTTAAGTTAAAACTTCTTTAAGCGTGTTGGATTTTCAAACAACAAACAAAAAAAATGTATTTTTGCGATTGGAACTCGCGACACTGTTACCGTTACCGACACCTCTGTATATAAGTATCTACATATATTGGCCCTTCGTGTCGGTACATTTCGAATCGAAAAAAAAAAAAAATTTTGCTTGTCGTTGTTTGTAACGCTCTATCCTGGTATCTATCGGAGCCGGCTGATATGTTGTGGAGCACGGCTCATGTCTAATGTCGTGTACGTGTGTGGTCAGATGCGCGTGCGCGTGCCTGCTGCTGGTGCTGACGGACGGGTACCGCGCGGCCAGCGGCGTGCACACGCACACGCTGCGGCGCTGGGCCTACGAGATACACTCCACCTTCCTCGTGCCCAACGCGGTACGTCGCTCTACTCTAATAGCTTATACCTGGGACACTTGCCGATGGGTCAATGTGGGGTACGACCGAGGACGATACCCACAACATTCCTAGAAACATTTCAGGAATCTCCAAAAAGCGTTTATTACTTAAAATTTGTTGTTGAGAAGTAAAAAAAAAGTATTTTTTGTAAGTTTTTATTAGTGATTAGTAATATTGACTACCAAATTGTCAACTTTTAGTTTAAAATTGCAATTTGAAATGCGTTACACCATAGTCCTCGAAAGTTGACTGTTAAAACAGTTGTTCAACATTGTATAGAATGATTTCATCCGTGTTCTGAGTATTTACCTATGTTTTTGCTAGGGTAAATTCCCACGGGGGGAGGGGGGGGGGTCGTCTACTCGTCTGTAGATGACCCGAGGTATGTCGGGGCACCAGGGACTTCCTTTCTAGGGTATACCTGGTTCCCCGGCTATTAGTACCCGGCGACGGCGTGCGGTTTTGGTCGGTTCGAGTCCGACATGCCACCGACAGGTGGTATCCGAGGGGGATTTCCGCACGGAAAAAAAAAGGGGTAAATTCCCAGATGAGAATATACCCCAATAAGAATAAATTATACCCTAATGAGTAAATGTATTTATTTGTATTTTCCCGGTGTCTATCTCTACACACAGTACTCACTTTTTTACTGTTTATTCATCCGTAACATATTGTATTTTTTCCAGTTATTGTCCTGATGTATTTTTTTAAAATTTATGCACTTTATTAATGTGTACATAGAGTAATATAATAGTATTTTAATTACATTCAGAGTTATTTTTTGAATTTTGACATATGCTACTTTATTTTCATGATTTATTTTATATAAACCTCCTTTCTAAAGAGAGGGCTATGTCCAGCAGTGGACTACTCGTATTAAAAGCTGCTGATGATATAGAACTGCGAGTCATAAAAAAATGTGATTGTTATTGTTTTTTGATATGGTGTGTTTTGTTTACATATAAATATAATAAAGTGTTGTATTGTAGGTACTACAGCTAAGTGGGGTTGATGAGAATATGGCGAATGAAATTGAACATGTTCTAGTTAATGGTAAGTCTATTTGTTTTATCCCTGTGGTGACGGATTTAGAATACAGAGTGTCATCACCCCTATTCACCCTGTGGGTGTCGTAAGAGCCGATTAAGGGAGCAAACTACGCTGGACAACAGTACTGGAAAGAGAAGGAAAACTTGACACAAACTAGGGTTTATGTCAAGTTTTCCTTCTCTTGGTATAGGATACCAACCCGTTTGGCTAGCAAGGTATAGTAGGCCAAATCCTGCTTTCTAAGGAGAGGCCTATGTTAAGCAGTGAACTAGTAAAGGCTGTTGATGATGATATTTGTTTTTATAATGTTTGTATTATTTGTGGCTAAACGACTATCTTTCTAAGTCATCATCTATTTTCTCTTTCATCACCATCTTTATTTGTTTGTGACCATTTCACTTCATAGCTACTTAACCGATCATCATAATGACCACACGCATGACGTTCTGGTTTAAGCGGTCACCTCACCGCTTCCTACAGCCGAGTGTTGTGGGTTCGATCCCCGCATAGGATAGCACTTGGGTGATCCAAAAATTATTGTTCTGAGTCTGGGTATTCTTTGTGTCCGTTTCATGTTTGTTTGTAAAGTCCCCCGCGACACTGTAAATATTCCTAGCGCGGAAGTTGTCCTGAAATTAATTTAAGCAAGTCAGGGATATAGAAAACGGCTCAGGATAGCTTTTATCAATAAATATGTACTGTTGTCGGGGGATAAAAAATAACATTAATACTATAAATTTGAATTTATGTTAAACAGAATACGAGAAAGAGGAGCTCCTACGCAACGTGTTTCGCAAGGCTCGTCAGAAAGCGAAAGACGAGCTGACGCAGCAGCTGACGGAGTTCCAGGTGAAGCGGCAGGTCGGGCTCGGCACGCTCTACGGTCCCGAGGACGCCGTCATCGACAAGTGTGACGTGGACAAAGCTCAGGTCTGGATCATAATAAAAAAGAAAGATGTACACAAAAAAATGAGCTGTTGCGGGACGTCTGGTATTTTGTAGAAATAATTATTCATATTCGCATGGTGACGCGTGGCGACGCATGCCGTGGCGACGCGTTACCATGAAGCTAGCCGGCCTGATCTTCCACATTATGACATGATATTTATTTCTGCAAGTAATTTTTTAGAAGTTGGATATTAGGTGTTTCATATCAAATAAGGAACTCAGAATTCAGAAAAACTGAACGGAAAAAGGTCATAGGATGTCAGGTCACTTGATGGCAAAAGTCTCTGATGATTAATTGACTTTTCGTCCAAAACAGCCACTTCCGACGGCAAAAATAAACTTTCAGGTGAAAAACCATCCCTGATTTTTGAAGAATATTGACGCTAAACAATATGGTTTTTGATAATGAGGAGTCAGTTTTGTCACAGATTAAATTGATATTCCATTTTAGTTTAAGGATGTTAGTTTTTGTTTTTATTATTTTTGTTCGCGATGTCGACTTTGTTAGAGATTCTCTCTTACCGCCCGAAGCAATAGCAAAAGTAATCTCACTATTAGGTAATATCCGTGGGCTTAAATTATTGACATTTTTGTCGAGGTCGGTGCTAGTATTTTTGCAGGCAGGCGCTAGGAGACATATATTATCGCTTAAAACCCAGTTAGTGATTAGATGTGAGCGAGTGACGTGTCGGTCGTGCAGGAGCTGGTGGTGGTGGAGCAGCTGATGACGGCGGTGCTGCGCGGCGCGGCGGGCGGGGGCGCGGGCGCGGCGCACGCGCACGCGGCGCACGCGCACCCCGACGCGCACCACGTGCTGCTCGCCGCGCTCATCGCCGCCGCGCTGTGTCTGCACTGCAGGTGACCGCCCCTAGCTATCGCACTCCACTGTGCTACTTTACACGGGCTGTAATGGACGCCGTAACCTATACTCGAACGGTGTATTCGGACCATCATTCTGAGTCCAAAATCATTGGAATTTTCTGCCGAGAGAGTTACGAAAAGTGTGAGCGTGTGAAGTTGAGAGGGAAATATAAGTTACTGAAGAGAGAAACAGAAAGAATTACGTTTCGTATATTACTGTAAGGGCAAGAGAGAGAGAGAGAGGTCTGAGCACACAGTTTCTTTCTCTCATAGCCAAGAAATTTTTCTTCAGGCGTATGGACTAAAGCACCACACTCTTTTTCTTTGTTTTTCTAATTTTCATCATTCATTTTTATTTTTTAATTAAAAACGATATCCAATGAACAAATTTTACCCAAAAGTAATAACAATAAATACAGCATACGGTCAACAACTGCAATGTAATCAATCAAATGTAGTTATTACTTTTATGCGATACCTACCTTTAATTTTCCAAAAATTCCAATGATTTTCGACTCACAGTAATGGTCTGAATACACTATTTCAGTATTTGTTACGACGTCCCTTACACCCTGTATATGTAGTCTACCAATGGATATCAAATTTTAAGTCTAACTTTTAAGTGATATTTTCTAAATAAAATTTTATTTAAAAACATAACTAGTAATAACAATGTAATATAACACAAAATAAACACACACCCATTCAACAGTGGAATAACCTAAAACTTACATAAATGCTTTAAGCTTTAATATGCTGCAATATATCTCACACGTCACACCCACGGCCGTCTGATCCCAAATTAGGCAAAGCCTGTACTATGGTAACTAGACTGCTGATAAACATACTTATATATTTTTTAAATACATACATAATATAGATAAATTACACCCAGACACAGAACAAATGACCGTGCTCATCACACAATATTTGTCCTGGGTGGGAATCGAACCCACGACCTCCGGCTTAACAGTCAGGGTCACTAACAACAGGCTAGTCGATAATAATTACTGAATGAAATAAATATAAATGATGTGAAAATAATGATGACAACACATAATATACAACTTACGTTTAGATAAACGAACGAGTCGAGCATATTATACATAAGATCCAACATCTAACACCCCGCACGCTGATTGGTCGCGTCAAATAACGCGCGCTTCCCCGATTTTCTGTAAAACACTTCCGTCCTTTTTCGAGAAATCATTACCATTGATTGCAGAAAACCAGAGAAAAATGTTACACATAAAAGTATGTATCCTATGCCCTTGTGATAAACTTCAACTTTTCATGTAGTTATTATAAATCAAAATGATTATCAAGATTCAATTCTGATAGGTTCAATCATTATTCTGGACTTAAAATTCTGCGTAATGTAGAATATTCATAAAATAATCTTAAGAGTACCACAAGTTAATTTGTTGAAGACTTAGGTTAATATTATTTTTCTTATATACATAAATGTTATCTCACTCCTATTCTCCTTCTCCATCCAGTGGTTGTCTGGAAGAGATCGCAAAACGCGATAAGGCCGCCAATTGCCAACAAATTTTAATACTTTACTCTCCATGTTTCATTTATTAAACTAGATATAAGACACACCAATGTATACAAACTGATTTCTTCTTTTTTATTAAGTTTTTTGTACAATAAGGAATTATCTAAAACAGCGAAACTTACACTACGTATGATGTGTAACATCTCACGTACCACCCGACACCGCGCGTGTTCTTTAAATAAACCATTTCCGCTTCATGTTACACACTTCCGTTCCTTTTAAAAAAAACCCGCGGATTGCAGAAAAACGAGAGGAATAATGTGATATATCGTCATAGTCGTAGAATAGTGTAGCCATTTCAAATAATTATGTTTTTTTTTCAATTACCTTTTTTTCATTTAATCTACAATTATGAAAATTGACATACAAGTGAAAAATAGGGTTTGTTTTAAAATGCAATAAAAATAAAAACTGATAATTTCACAATTTTCTAGAAAAATCACATGCTTCATTATAGTTTGAGTGCCTATCAAATAAACACTGAATAATTTAAAATCAAAAATATTTTTGTTCTTGAATGTAGTAATAATATTTAGACAATGTAGTATCCAGATATGGTAAAAACTGAATTTCGTATTTTTTTCAAAACCTACATTATTCTACGATCATGACGAACCATATACAAAAGCGAATAACGGCAGTAAAGTAACAAATATCAAATGTTATTACATAAAACTAATATTTCGATGATTCATTTTCCCCGTAGTTTTCCTGTGTATAAATTATTTTTAGTTGTTCCTACGGTGTCATGGTGTAAATATTCATTATGGTTAGTGTTGAGATCAGTGATGTTGAAGCTTTGGAGGTTCGGCGCCGGTGGTGGCAGTCACCCAAGAAGTATAAGAAGAAGTTAAAGAGTAGCAAGTGAGTTTGTGAATGTTTTGTCTTCTGACACGTGTTGGACAACAGCGTTGTTGAAGAAGACTTGGATTTCTGAGAATTTGGTGTACATACGCCCTGTTGTAGTAGTATAAATATACATATTTAAATTGTATTTGTAATTGTTTCCCTGTTAATATGTAATTTTAAGGAAGATTTCGGCAACGTGATATATTTGTTAGGTTAAATTTGGATTCCATACAAGTTTATGTATAAAAAAGGAACAGAAATTCAAAACCATAAGAAGGTTAACTTAACTTAATTTAGACTGTTGAAAGTTACATATTAAAAGTGCTGTGGCGACTTGTATATACAACGTAGGAATAATAATTCTGTATCGCGCAATGAAAGTTCTCCAATCAAACACAAGTACAAATAAATCATAACTTTTTTATTTAATTAAGATGGATATCCAGTAGTAATTGTGTCACACACAATTTGGTAATTGGTACAAGATGCCCAATTTTTTAAGGAGTCGCAGCATGCAGAATTAAATTAATTAGACAGTAGCATATACGCGCTTAGGTTATATAGAATTTAAGTTTTTAAGCAAAAAGGACATTATACCTGAACATAGGAGTATAAGTCAAATTTAAAATTTTATTAAATATTATGGCGTTAAATGTTTAATTAAGTTGAAATGTTAAAACCACAAAATATTAAAAAAAAAAACTATCCTACACAATTTATTACGTCAATGACTTTTAAGCGGATAGTTTTATTTTTAATTTAATGTCAAAGACATTTACTATAAGTGCTTAAAGTTAGTGTCACATTAGTTCGCGCTCTGTATAGTAGAACATAAATAGATGATCGACAAATGGACACTACTAAGATAACGTTGTATTTTTCTCCTGCAATCTGGGCGTTATTTCGTGAAAAGGGACGGACGCGTGTAACAGGAAGCAGGTAAAACGCACTCCATATGATCTCACCAATTAGAGCGCGCGGTGTTAGAGTTACATACTGTAAGGATCACTATACGTTTTTTAGGGACGAATGTCTGACTAGGGGTGATCCCTGCGTCACGGAGACTTTAAAAGATGTACAAATATAGAACACACTAATGACAACTACTTCGTCGATTACATAATTTTTATCTCATGTGGGAATCAAAACTACCAAACTGGGTGTAATGGCGTGGTGTCTACTTACACGACAGCGCCAGTAGTGCAATTTATATATTTTATTTTTTTATTAGGCCACCAACGGCGAGTACACTATTACAATGTATTTATAAACATATGAATTTTAAAGTTAAGCATCACGCCACTTAAAGGTAGGCACAGCATGGACCAACAAAAGTGCAATAACAATTTACAAAAAATAATGTGAACTTAAAAGTTATTATAAGACTTACAAAAACTTACAAAACAAGAGAAGCAAAATCAAATTGAAAAAAAAAAAAAAAACTCCTATAAGCTTACATTACTTGTTAGATATAAGTAATGTAAGCTTATAGGAGTTTATATACAATTCTCTTTATTCGAGTTAGAGAGTCAGAGAATTAGTGTTATGACGCAATGCCCCCCCCCCCCCACAGGCCGGCGTCGGTAGCGGCGGCAGTGGGAGGCGCGCGCGCCTCGTTCCTGCAGCGCGACAAGCTGTACAAGCAGCGCACCAAGCAGATCACCAAGCAGCATCCACAACCTGTGAGTGTTCTCACTACATCTATTTACTTTGGTACTATTCGTCCTTATTCATTAAATCTATGTAAATATACATCAGATCAACAGCCTTTAATAGTCCACTGCTGGACATAGGCCTCTCCTTAGAAAGGAGGTTTAGGTCTACTATACCACGCTGGCCAGACGGGTTGGTATAGGGTTTGTGTCAAATTTTCCTTCTCTCTGCAGTGCTGTTGTTCTGTGTAGTTTTTCTTCTTAGTCGGCTCTTACGACACCCACGAGATGAATAGGGGTGGAGACACTCTGTATTCTTAATCCGTCACCACACGGACCTATATCGGACCGGATATATATACATAGATTTATGTAATATAAATAAATGTTAAGTTAATAAATTATATCTCACACACGGCCGTCTGATCTCAAACTTGGCAGAGCCTGTACTATGGTAACCACACTGCTGATAAACATACTTATATATTTCTAAATACATACATATTATAGATAAATTACACCCAGACACAGAACAAATGACCGTGCTCATCACACAATATTTGTCCTGGGTGTGAATCGAACCCACGACCTCTGGCTTAGCAGTCAGGGCCACTGACCACTAGACCAACAGGCCCACTGACCACTAGGCCAAACAGGCCCGGCCAAGTTGGTTTGTGTTCGCTTCAAAAACTCGATAAAGTTCTAAACCGATTGAGCTCAAATTGTGACACAATACACGAACCGCTTCAAAAGTTTTTATCTATTTTTGTTTTGTCGTGTCAACTTGATACCGGTCAGAGAAATGAGTCATCAGTGCAACTACAAGGTGCTATAGAGATACGTGACAGGGTACATCTAGTAAATTGTACACCAGCTGGTACCCGCGACTTGGAATTTAAAAAGCGCTGCCTTAGTAGGTTCGAATCCTGGAAAAATAGCCTAAGTTACTCCTGATATAGACAGCTGGTAATAAAATATTATCAAAATCGGTTTTGCCCGGTACAGACAGACAAAAACTTTTTAAACTGGTTTTTAGGCATATGTATTGTTCCCCGCCAGCAATCATTGCTGCCATGCTGGCGGGTGAGGAGGGCTGGGGCGCAGTGGTCAGTCCGCGAGGAGCAGGAGATCCGAAGGGATTCTCCACCCCCACCCAACAAAAAAAAAAACAACAAAAAAGGCATATGTATTGTGCAAATAACCGTGTAACCATGGCAAAACCTATTATTTTGACATTATCAACAGACACTTCAATTTTATTTGTTTGGATAGATTTTTATAACTAGATGCAGTTTACTAGTAAACTTAGGATTTTCTCCAGTTAAGTTTGTAGTAACATTTGTATGACAATAGTTAAATGAAGGGGCATTGTTCCAGTTTGTAGTGCGCGGCCACCACCTACAGCTACAGGCGCTGATGTCAGTGGGGCACTGCCACCACTGCCAGAATATCATCAGCGGCCTCGCACCGCAGGCTTACGTCTGTACAGGTACATCCTCGCTTACCAACACCTAATTTAGAAAGATGTATACAGGGTATAAGGGAGATCGTAACGAATGCTGAAATACTGTTATTATTGTAGAAAATCATTGGAATTTTCTGCCAGAAAATTTATATTTTCCATTTTTAAAGTTAAAAATGGTATCACAATGAGTAAAAAAGACATGAATAAATTAATAAATACCGCATACGGTCAAAAATTGCAATTTAATTACACATGTAGTTATTACTTTTGTGCGGAAAACGGGGAATGACCTTAACCTTTGACAGTTGATTGCATACAAAGTTTAATTTTCAGGCAAAAAATTTCAGTGGTTTAAGACGTTACGATGTCCCTTACAACCTGTATAAATTGCAATTTATAGAATATGATGTGGGTGATTAAAACTAGTAATAAAAGAAAGTTATTTTGGAGTTGATGAGATAACTAACGCAAACAATATTACACTATTTTTAAAAGGATTTTAATTAGATCCTAAGAGCAACAGTAGGTAATAATAAAATGGAGTTCATGTGTACCCTGTGTGTTGCCAGACTGCAAGCTGTGCGTGCACCGCGCATGCGCGCGCAGCGTGGAGGAGGGCTGCTGCCTGGACGGGGAGCACCACAACAACCGCATCTCGCGCTTCATGGAGCGCATCCACTACAACAACCAGCCCGCCAGTCAGTACACACCGTACCCACCATACACACGATACCCACCATTGCATTATACATAGATAGGTCATGATCGTAGAATAATGTCGGTTTTGAAAATAATACGAAATTCAGTTTTTACCATATTTGGATACAACATTGTCTAAATATTATTACTACATTCAAGACAAAATTCCATGTATTTTTCTGAAAATTGTTTAACTAAGAGATGTTATTTTTATTGCATTTTAAAACAAACCCTATTTTTCACTTGTATGCCGATTTTCATAATTTCAGATTCAGAATTTAAAAAGTTATGTCAAAAAACTAACATAATTATTTGAAATGGCTGCCCTGTAAAGCTCAAAACACTATTCCGACACTATTCTGCGACCACTGTGTACGTGCACGGGACTACAAAACATTAAATCATCCAAAATGTAACATTTTCTATACGTGTTATGCGTTTGTTATTAGTTTATTTTAAAAATATTGTCTATTGCAGATATGGACTCTAACGAGAAGAAATCGAGGAAGGGGTCAAACACAGGGCACTTTCTCATCAGTGAGTTTATTTAAAACTTTATATACTACCTACAATATTACAAAAAAAATGTGTTTAGGAACTAATTTTCTTATGTTATGAAATCTGCCCAAAAAATTAGGCTTCCTCTTAAATTTTGAGCCTTAGTAAGTGTGGTTTGCTGTACAATAAGCGTATCGCATCGCTGCCTAAGAAATTTCATTAAAAAAAGTTATCAAACCTCCTACTTTAATATACAAAAATATTTTTTATTGTCTACCTACATTTTCTGTAAAGGGACGTTGTTGTGTAACAGAAAACCGGGGAAGTGGTCGCTAATCTGACCAATGAACACGCGTGGTGATATAGTTGGTCCCCAGATGGTAGATGATGTCAGACATCATATGCGACTGTTTTTTTTATTGCTTTTATGGTATAAGGGGGCCAACGAGCAGACGGGTCACCTGATGGTAAGCAACTACCGCCGCCCATGGCCACCTGCAACTCAAAAGTCACAAGTGCTGCCCTTGGAGTCCCTCTCGCTCGTCTCACACATACTTACTCTTTCGTAACGTGTCATTATTTGTGAAGAGTACATGAAAATAGAACTGAAATGAAACGTAATTTTATCTTTTGTGGCAGTGGAGCGAAGTTTTCGGAAAACTGAAGACGATCAGCCATGGGACCAGACACTAACTCCGCCTGTGATAGGTAAGTCCTTTCGTGCGATATCGTCTTTTATTCACTTTTATAAACTTTGCATATCGTTATTTTAGGAATTTTGTGATATGAGTCTTCGAGCCCAAACCATTTCGATGGTTTCAAATCATATTTATAAAGTTCGTGATGTGAGTGCGGTATTTTTAGTTAATATATAAGGTTTTTTGAAGTAAACTTCTCTACGCACGCTTGCCTTGGGGAGTTCGCTGGTGAATGCGTGACGAGAGCGTTACGAAAAGTGTGATCGGATCAGGCAAACGGAACTTGAGAGAGAGAGAGATATAAGTTAGTGAAGATAGAAAGAGAGAGAGTTACGTTTCGTATTGTATATTACTGTAGGGGCAAGAGAGATGTGCGAACACATTTTCTTTCTCTCTTTCTCTCAAAGCCAAGAAGTTTTACTTCAGTGGTGTGGTCTTAAAGCAAACTCATTTTTTTGGTTGTTTGTGACCAAAGGGATTATAGCACCGCTGCAGATGGCCTTTTAGTTTTTTATTTTGAATTGTTAAGAGTGGGAGGCTATCAGACGATGTCGGTCGTGGAGGTAGTTGAAGAAGAACAGGCAAGAAACACTAAATACACACTTTTTTGTTTTTTTACAAGTTACCTGTTACATATTATATGATAATCTCAAATTTAACGTGAGAACAATGCTATGAATTTTATTTTAATATCACAGTCGTATATGAACAGTCGGACAAACTGACTATTGTATTTGATTTATAAGTTATTAGTGATTGCCTATCGATTTTCGACCGTTTTGACTCGTTATTTCATTTGACTATTGTATTTGATTTATAAGTTATTAGAGATTGCCTATCGATTTTCGACCGTTTTGACTCGTTATTTCATTTGACTATTGTATTTGATTTATTAGTTACTAGAGATTGCCTATCGATTTTCGACCGTTTTGACTTGTTATTTCATTTTATTGACCAGTACTTCACATTACATAGACCTTTTTTAGCAGGCTATATGCCAGGTCATATATACTCTACATCTACTCGTATTAGTTTTGTGTAGCCGTACCATTTTATATATTTTTTACTTATAATAATAATATTTCGGACATCTGACACACAACGCCATCTATTTTCAAACTATGCAGAACTTATAGTATGAAATCTAGATTGATTGATAGAATACTTATATCCTTTTTTTATGTAAAAACATGTACATTATACATAGAATAAACTCCGAAACAAATATTTGCAGATCATACAAACGTTTGATCCGATCCTTGAATCGAACCCGAGACCTCAGCACAGCAGTCGCATACGCTACCACTGCACCACTGAGGCAGTCATGGCGCATTTTATTTAAAAAATCCGCAGTTCTTCCACATTAAAACAAAACAACAAACACAAACAAAAAATTGTTCCAAATATGATACGTTTTCGTGTGCCATATTTTTTTTAAATGATAAAATCGTAGATAATCGCTATTTAACCTAGTTTATCATGTCCAAGTCTATCCAGTCCATGATCTAATAAATTTATCATAATAAACAAATCAAAACAAACATTTTCAAGTCAGTCCATATTACACTGACCCCTGTTTAGTTCACCATTTACTCGAACATCAAAGTGACTGTGAGTTCTCGTTATACTAGTGTACTTTTATTAATATACATAATTATATAAACGTGTATACGGCTCGGATTATAATAATATTCTAACACATTCACACAACGCCATCTAGTCCCAAACTAAGCAGAGCTTTTACTATGGCTACTAGACAACTGATATAAATACATATATACTTACTTATTGTACATAGAAACACCCAGACCAAATCAAACATTAAATGTTCATGCACACAAATGTTTGACTTGAGCGGGAATCGAACCCGCGAACCTTTGGAATAGCAGTCCGCTACACAAACCAGTACGCCATCCGGTCGTCGCCGGTTTAGATATGAATATATTATTGATTTGTAACTACTTTGGGAATTGTTCTGTTTTATTGATGTGAGCGGTGCGGTATGGATTAAATCCGGAGTTAATGAGTTAATCGGTGTTCCGGAATTGCAGATATTATAAAGCTTTTCTACTATCCTTATCGTACTCAGCTTTTGGCCCAGGACAGGATTTGTTTTTACGGTACTTTAGGATCTAAATATCGAACTCAGAGTAATTTAATAAACTCAGTAATATGTAGGCATTCAAATACCCAATAATTAATTCACAAATATTCAAAAACTCTTACGATTAAAAAAATTAATATGCGTAAATGCGAAAATAAAAAAAAAAATCATTTACCTACCGAAAATTTTTTACTCGTATATTTTTATCCGACTTTAAAAAGAAAGCAGAATTTCATTTCAGTTGAAATAAAATTCTGCTTTCTTTTTAAAATAAGTTTTTAACAAGTTTGTTATGCAGAACTTTGTAATTTTAGGTCTTTACCTATGAAATTGCCGTTTTGTATGCAATAAGTGAAAGTACTTATTTTTTCAAACTTTTTTATTTCTGTTATTCGAAGTAATCACCCATGCAATCGACGCATCTTTGCCAACGCATTGGCAGTTTATTGATGCCCTTCTTGTAAAAATCAGCTGGACGGGAGGCAACAAACTCTTCAAAGGCATTTTGTACTGCCTCTCGGGAATTGAATTTTTTACCCACTAAAAAGTTGTCTAAATTTTGGAAAAAGTAATAGCCGGTAGGTGCAAGGTCTGGTCACTTATTGCATACAAAACGGCAATTTCATTGGTAAAGACCTATTATTATTCTATTTAGAAATTATGTTACTCGTTACAGGATAAAATTTCGTTTAATTTCAATTTTATTTGTTCTTGCAACCCTTTTGTTTTTAACGAACAGCTCTCTTATCTTAGTATAATATATATGTAAATATTTTATCGCTGTTTTAATATTAAATATACAGCTCGTACCTACTTGACCTGTTGATAAAAAGTTTTGGTTTTTCCAAGTTATACCACGTTTTTATTCATTAAAACACATCGAAAGATTAAAAATATAGGTTAAGTAACTTGAATCTGTTAAACATAACAAAGAAATGTATCAATCTTGAATTTGACATTTCCGGTTCCGGGTGGTTCCTAAATCGAAGATAAAGAAATAAAAATATAGCGCTCCACATTTTTTGATTTTATACACAAAATAGAAGAAAAGTTAACGTTAAATTGAAAACTTTGCATAAACTCTGACATTACAAATCTTTGTCCTAACTAATACTAACTTTACCCTTCACACCTCTCACACACGGGCAGTTTTTTTTTAATTTAAAAAATATAAATGAAATCGTTGTTCCGTGTGGTGACGGATTAAGAATACAGAGTGTCACCACCCCTATTCATCCCGTGACTAAGGGAGAAAACTACGCAGAACAACAGCACTGTAGAGAGAAGGAAAACTTGACACAAACCTTATACCAACCCGTCTGGCCAGCGTGGTATAGTAGGCCAAAACCACCTTTCTAAGGAGAGGCTTATGTCCAGCAGTGGACTATTAAAGATGAAATTAAATCGAAATAATAGAAATTATTTTCGAAAAAAAAAATGTAACTAGGTATAACGTTTTCTTTTCAGAGAAAAATGTGAACAAAGAACAATGTTATTAGGCGTATTCATTCAAGTAAAATATGTATAATAAATATATATTTGCAGTTACCGGGGTTCAAATTCCCAACAAACAAAAGCTCAAGAAGTTACGTTTCTGAAAAACTGTAACACAAATTACCATCAAAACATAATCACCCAATAAGTTCACTTGAAAATAAACGAACGACAAGTGCAAAGCTTGGCATTGCGCTTGACATAAACAGACAAAAGCTGACTACATCCCCCTAGCGGGTGGGCGGCCTGAAACTGTAAGCTCCCGAGTGTAGGCGGCCGACTCGAGCCGTGCGGACGTACTCTACACACTGTTTATATTCCATTTAGAATTCCCGCGTAATTCACACAGATTTAAAACTCTTGTAAATAAAAAAAAAAAAAACGTTTAGACTTAGTATCTGTGGTTTGATTTGTTGTGAAAAAAGTTGGTGAAGTGTTGCGTTACTTTTGTAAAAGTTATTATTTGTGGTCATATTTGGATGTTAATTTGGTAAGAATATATAGTGATTTGTAATATTTACATTTTGATAAATAATCGTTTATGTAAGTTGGGGTTATCTATAGTTTTATCATTCGCAAATGTGAATAAAAGGTTAACAAGTGTTTTGTTTTACATTGATTACTTTTAACATTGTAAAATTTGTGTCAAAATACAAATTTAAATCATCATTTATTATTATAGATATTTTTTTTACGCATTTTAGCATTTAATTGCGTATTTTAATTAGTGCATTCTTTTGCAATTTTTAAACCCTAACGTAAAGCATTTCTGCGTTTTCATTTCGGTACAAAAGAGGACGCTCATTCAAACGTATAATTACATAGGTTTAACCCTCCAACATTAGCTTTTTAAAATCGTATCAATGCCCCTCTCCCTCCTACTTCCTCAAAGCAAGGCTCAAATAAAGACTATATTGATTTTCTGTCTAACGAATCAGCTGATATCAGTTTGCCGACGACATTAAAATTTGAAAGTACTTACGAACGGTTTATATAGCACATAATTGAGATCCCATTAGTAAGTTATTGGTAAATAGCTGGGCCCCGCTCGAGTCATTTCAATTCCTTGCTCATCCCGAGGGAACACCCAGTAGCCTATGTGTTAATCCAAGGTTTTATCTACCTTCATACCAAATTTAATCAAAATTGGTCTAGCAGTTTGAGCTTGAAAAAGTAACAAAACACTCATAAACTTTCGCCTTTATAATATTAGTGTGATGTGATAAGTTCTATACAATGTAAATATACAATTGAGTAAATCTTTAGTAAATTTGCTTTACACTTAAAACGTTACTATTACCTCGTTCTTTGCAACGCTCAAAAAATCTGATGCTCTGTCGAAAATTTGCACTATATTGGTTCAAGAATTTTATATATGTAATACCTTTAAACGAGCTATTATTGTATATATATATATAATCTGAATCTCGGAAACGGCTCCACCGATTTTCATGAAATTTAGTATGCAGGGGGGTTTCGCTGGCGAGTAATCGATATAGCTAGGATTCATTTTTAGAAAATTTACCAAAAAAATATCATCTAGGTACTTTTAATTAAGTCATGATGTAAATGTTTTCTTTTTTTATGTATGTATTAGTTATATATGGATAAGTATTTGTTTTATGTATATAAATATGTATGTATGTATATTAGGTCAGAAAAATAGTCTCTTGCATATAATAATAACCTCACACACTATCATCTCTCAACTAATCACAACTATTAATTCTAAATACATAAATATTATAGATAAATTACACCCCGACACAGGACAAAATGATCACAATTTTTGTCCTGGGTGGGAATCGAATCCATGACCACTGGCTTCGCAGTCAGTATCTCTTAACTACTAGACTAACAGGCCCGTTAGATTCACATCAACAGCCTTTAATAGTCCACTGCTGAACATAAGCCTTGCCTTAGAAAGGTGGTTTCGGCCTACTATATCACGTTGGCCAGACGGGTTGGTATAAATAGGGTTTGTGTCAACTTTTCCTTCTCTCTGCAGTGCTGTTGTTCTGCATAGTTTTCTTCCGTTAGATTAACTGATTGAACATCTGATTTGAAAATTAACGAGATGCTCAAATAAACAATTATACACTAAGATTTATACGATATTTGTACGCTAATTTAGGTTTTGTTTAAAATGTCATAAATTTTGAATAAACATGATTTACAAAACTTGTACTGTAATCGAATATAATACCTCTACGATGAGATTAAAATACATCACGCTACCACTAATAGGAGTCGAGCTGAAAAATGTTGCAAAAACGAGGAACATTTATTCCTTTTGAGAGACAGAAGGAAGTTACACGGGTCATCTAATATTATCGAAAATTATCAGTTCGGAGAAGAATGTTACAGAAACGTAGTCATTAAACACGCATATCTTTACAAATCGTAAAATGCTTTATACAAACTCAATATTTTACGCTACAATAATCGGCGGAGTCGCGGATGCATGCACAATGCAATTAACATTTAAGCTCGGTGGCGCCACAAAATGGATAGCTTTATATCCTATGGTTTTTTTTATCATGTAAGAGTCAAAAGAGCAGACGGGTCACCGAATGAAAGGTGATTACCACCCTGAACGCTTGCAACTCAGGATTCACAAGCGCGTTGCCGGCTTTGAGTGAGTTGTTCTTCCATTTGCATACCATACGCGTTCTTTGTCCATCCGATGATTGAAATCATAAAAGGGTAAAAAAATAACCGCCCTGGGTCTCTCCAAGGAGATGATGAATTTAAAACTTTTAAAGCTCTTAAAAAGTAAACTATTATTGAAAGTATAAAAATAAATAAAAAAATTGCAAAACTAGTAGGTCTACGCAGTGCATTGTTCATTATGTCTCTTACAACAATGTTAGCTTCCAAAAAGTTTAATATAGACACGGCGATCTTCAGTGGATGGTAGCATAATTAAATCTCATGCGTGCATTACCAGTTTTAAATCCCTACTAATAATAAACATGCAAAAGTAACTCTGTCTGGCTGTAACGCTTTCACGGCTGCAATAACCGACATACTCGAGGGCGGACCCACCAGTAAAAGCTAGTGCGTTATAAATGGTCATTTGGGGAATCTGATAATTAAGGCGTTATCATCATCATCAGCCTATCGCAGTGGACTGTGATAAGCTGATGATGATGATAACATGGAAATAAAGCTACAGACATAGCAAGCGTGTTGACGAATCTGATACGTTTTGTTATACGTCAACGAAATGCACGGATTGAGTAATGGTTTAAGCGGTCGCCACGCCGCTTCCTTCTGCGCCGAGTGTTGTGGGTTCAAAACACACATGGGACGACACTTTGTGTGATCCACAAATTGTTGTTCTGAGTCTGGGTGTTCTTTGTATCCGTTTCATGTATGTAAAGTCCCCCGCGACACAGGCATGTATTCCTAATGCGTCTTGTCTTTTTAATTTTTTTTTTTATTAAGTTTCAAGTAGCCATAGCTCCTGTTTAAAAATTACGAACAAATTCCCAGCAAATACTATAATGGCGGTTAGGTTTGAAACATAAAAACACATCTAAAAGTTATCGATGCCAAGTTGTGGCGACTACGTCATTCACTTGTAACTTTTATAAATAAATAACGTAGGGAAGACTATCGATCAAGTCTACGGTCTGCAGCGTATGGTGTTTAGTTCACCATAGGGCGTGTAGATAGATAGCTGCATTTATACGTGGCTAGTAGCTAGCCATAACGTTTCCTCACACTTGATTGTAACTTTCGATTATAATGCAGATCTTAGCATTTTATTCATTAAGTGAATATCATGATCCTTATATAGAAATTCTTTATCTTTTATCGTAAAATAGGAGAAGTAGTGGGTATTATAAAAATGCATTTAACCTTCAAAGCAAAAAGATCCTGCGTGTTATTAGTTAAACGCTTAGATCTGTGTATAAATACAAGATGTATGAAGCTGTTTTTAATGTTGTTTTTTTGGTCGAAAGATGACTTGATCAAGAGTGTTCTTAAATGAAAGAAAATCTGTTTCCGATTTACGAAGATTACAAACTCTTTTCTAATGATCTTTAGGTATTTTAATGTTTTATATTAAGTTGGGGTTTCAGTGAACTCCCTGTCAGTCGTCGTTCTTCTAGCCTCGGACACTATATTTACTAAACATACATACCATATATATATATATTCTTTTTTTAATAGACTACTCCCGCATTAGGAATAAGTATATCCTGTGTCGCGGAGGACTTTACAAACATACATGAAACGGACCCAAAGAACACCCAGACTAAGAACAACAATTTGTGGATCGCACAAATAAGTACAAAAAACGAAGTCAGCTGGTCTATTAAAATGCGCGTATTATTAAAGAAAATATAATATCATACTTAGTTTAACAGTTTGCGTGTAAACAGTCACATAATTTGACCCGATACTGTCGTATCGGAGCGCGACCTTCACCGAAATATTCGTCGCAAGAGTAACGCGTTTGAATTTTATTTTGTCATCGTAACTACACGATGTTTATCGCTTCATCATTCTTAATCTTCCTGCGTTGTATTATTTATTTCTGTAATTTAGTATGAAAGCTTATAGAAAGCTCTTCATTAATAACTTTTTTTTATGGTATAAGGGGTCAAACGAGCAGACGAGTCACCTGATAGTAAGCAACTACCTCCGCCCATGGACACCTGCAACTCAAAAGTCACAAGTGCGTTAGTGCCCTTGGAGTCCCTTCAGCTCGAGTCAGCTAGTTGATTTCGGCTCCGGTAACCTCACTCACTCAGTGAAAGGCAAGGAAAGAATTGCTTAACACCGCTTTTCTGTGAGGCTGTGGTATCACTCCGGTCGAGCCGGCCTATTCGTGCCGAAGCATGGCTCTCCCATGATAATCTTATTTAATGTGATATGTTTTATACATTGCTTCTTCTGTGACGACTATACATTATTTAAAGTTATTAAACTAGTATAAAATGGCAATGTATGTTTTTAAAGTATTCGTGTCTCTTGTTTGACTGCATAGTATCTTATTTGTGCTAATATATTAAAGCTGAGGAGATTGTTTGGTTCAATGCGCTGCCGTAGATGGCCGAGGTGCGTCGGGATACCAGGGATTTCCTTGCTA